TGGATTCCGTGGATTCATTGGATTCCGTGGATTCATTGGATTCCGTGACATCCTTGGATTCCGTGACAACCTTGACATCCGTGGATTCCGTGTCATCCTTGGATTCATTGGTTTTAGTTATAATTATAGGGTAAATAATGATTTTTGACGGGGTTTGGGATTCCGTGGATTCATCAAGACATCTGAATTCACGGAAGTCAGCCACTGCTGACCCTCAATATACAATTATTTTGCAGATCTCATGAATAGAGAAAAATGCGTCTATAAATATGTGTGTACACTTACACAACACATTCAATAACAATAGCATCATCAATAAGAATTACACAGCATTCACAACAATCATGATGAATAAAATCATATTTACAGTAAGTAAAACGAACATTAAAGAAAAATTAAAGTTTATAATTTATTATAGTTAGGTATAATGTTCGGCGTTGCTTCTTCCTTAAGTTTACAATATCTTACATCAACAGTAGGTCAGGATGCTGGAACAATGATCTGTAATGCTTATGCACAAAATAAACCTGCAGCAGTTGCTTTTTTCTTCAAGTTAAATGGTATATTCGCTGCTGGAGTAGGAGGCCAAAAATTTCCAGCTTCAGTTGCTTATATTACAACAAATGAAAAAGCATTATTGTCTGGTACAGAACCATGTCCCACTTTCATCGTTGGTTTAGCAACAGCATTTCAAAGTGATTTACAAAACAACGGACTGACAGTTGCAGATGCTAAAGCAGCACTCACACAATTTATTCAAACGAACTTCCAACTACTTTCAGGTGCTAGTGGTAGTGGCTAAATTGAATTATTCAAACATCGACAAAAGACTAATTTTTCCTTTTCTATTATGTAGCTAGCTGTTTTTTTTGCCTAATTTTCTTTTTCAAATTATTTTCTTTCCAATAGAAATCCGTGAGAACATTCATACAGAAAGCAATGAAAAACATTGTTCTTTCGAAGTAGTAAAATATGTTTTCGATAAATTCAAGAAAATTATGTATCAAAATCTTAGTAAATTATTGCGAGTGTAGGTATAAGTGTGGGTGACGGTGTGGGTGTAGGGTAGATGTGGATGAGTAGCAAGAGATGATATACATCCACACCCAGACCCATTCCCACCCTCAAGATGGAGAGTCTTACTAAATTTCACAAACTATCTCACAGAGAATCGCTATGTAACAGTTTAATTACAGAAAAGGTTACTTCTATTGTGATCGATAAAGATTTGGTACTTCTCTAATAGCAGTTGCCAGCATGCATCTATTTTTTCAAACTGTAAATGGATCCTAATCGTCAGATACAATTTGAATAGTTTTAGTTGATACTGAAGTAGTCTCTTAAGTCAATATCTATAGAAATTGTATGCTGAAGATAAATATCCTATATTACTATGGCTGAATAAATGGATGTGTTAGCATAAGATTTTAAATAATAAAATATTTTACTGATATTAAATTCATCACATATCCATCCACACTCACACCCTCAGTTCTGCTATTTTTTATTTCTCTACTCTTTATGCAAACTGACTTGAATATAACTCTTTACTCGCTTATAATTTATCATCATATTTGTTCTCGTTTCTCTTAAAAATATCGTCGACGAAGATCTGTGCGTGGCTAGCATCCCTAACTGGGAAAAAATACTGGTTGCTTTGATTTTTTCTTTTCTTTTCTCTTCAAAAAAAGTGCATACCTCACCTTCTTTGCCTGTCCTTATCTTAATTCTTGATAGTCAACGGCGCCGTATGTTGAATTAAGAAATTCTTCTTTTTCTTCTGTCGTTTCAGTAGCTGAAACATTTATCGAGCGAAGTCGCAACGAAGCATTGTCATCAAACTCCGATATAGAATGGGATGTAATACTGATATAGTTTCTTTTAATTGTATAATAAATGAAGAAGGGTGGGTATGGGTGTGTTATGGTTAATATATTCATACCCACACCTCACCTATAGCCTACACTTACACCCACAGCCACGCCACTCACACCCACATCTACCTACACCCACACTCCACACCCCAAACCCAATCTATCCATTCTAGACTAACTTATCAAATAATTCGCAGCGTCTCAGCCACTAGTAGACTCAATTATTCGAATTTTTCTAGGGTAATGGCAACAGCATTAGAAAAAGCTGTCTTGCAGCATCAAAACTGTACACAATCAGGTAGTTCAAATACAGAGTTTTTATTCAATTATTTTCCATCATTTCAGACGGAGCACCTGCTTGGCAAACTTATCTCGAAATCGTGGAAATTCCAAATAAAGGAAGAGGGTACCGAGCATGCTGTGATATACCGTCACTGACATGTATCATGCATGATACACCACTTGTCTCTCCTTCATTTACAAGCACAGCTTTGATAAATAATAAACAATCATATCCTGCTCATATCATGGAATATCTCGTCTTACAAGTGCTTGAAAACAAAGAATACTTTGATTTGCTTTCTCCGCAAGTAGCTTCCGGACGGTTTTCTCAAGAAGTATCACCTTATCCTTCCCGTTATTCAAACGATATGTGGCAGTTAACTCATGAGAAGGTTTTGACCAATGTGTTTAGCGGCGATTCACTAGATTCAACTATGTTCAATCGGAGACGCATACTCAAACTGGGCATCAGAACATCCTTGTTCAATCACAGCTGTTGTGCGAATACAGTTGTTGGGAAGATTTCTGGAACCATCAAGCAGAAAATCGAAACTATACGCGATGTTAAGCTAGGTATTTTGAAATAATCTATTTCTGCAATGGCAAGACGCTTCTAAGTGCTAGAATAAAAGCGCAGATATTTTTTCTGTTCGGACATTGTCAGGTAAAACGTACCGCATGTGTACTTGTACGAATTCTGTCTATTGCAGTATTTTCTATGGTGAATAAGTCATTCACTCGACATACACAGCGGAGACTACTATATTTTCGAGATCCAAAACTTCCTATTTTAGAATTGCAACAACAGTAGAAGAGAGAAAGTACTTTTTGATAGCATAATACACTTAAAAGTGTGCTGAAATATATTACACGTAATTTCTAAGGTTAGGAACAATAAATTTCATGCTATTTAGTTAATCACTGAATGCAAACTTAATTAGATCGTAGGCAGTCGTGAAATCGAACATCAATAAGCAAAGGTTTTTCCTTGCGATTTCTGGTTAACATAATGAAGAGACACTATTCTCGAAAATAGTTTAGCTATCTTATTCTTACTATTTTATTTGCTAGGAGAAGAACTGTGTATATCATATTTGCCGGATGCCTACCTGCCTCGAGACGAACGTCAAGTCCTTTTACTTCAGCGAGGCTTTGAATGCCGTTGTGAACGCTGTTCAACCGAACCGATTTTTGAGAAGGATATTCCTTTAACGGCAGATACAAATTTATCGCCATTATCTAACGAAAAAATCATTCCTCTACGTCATCGTTATGATCAACTTATGAGTGATTTTCAATCAACGTTTGGTCGAAGTACACCTTGGTCACGCTTAGTATGGTTAATGGAAGCCGAGGGATGGTTGACAGATGCTGGCAAACCACCGTACCAGCTACATGAATTTCATTGGTTGGCCGTGCATATCTACAAATTACTGCGTGATCGGTACAAAACTATGTACCTTAGTCATGCTGGTGATCGTGAAGCTATGCGAAAAAAAGTTTTGCATTATGGGAAATTAGTTATTCGTGCCGAGTTTGCAGTGCTTCAACCGATGGATCCTTGTAAGCAAGGAGTAGATGCATTTTTAGACGACTGGAATGATATGGATATGCCCAAAAATGGTGCATGGAAATTATTGAAAGAGCTTGAGCCGAATGCAGAACTTATCATTAAACAACTCAATGAATGATTTTTTGCGCACATGACTTTCATGATCGGATGAGTAAAGAGAACTGAACTTTTTTAGATTTCGATCTGAACCTTAAAAAATTCCCTCTATTAAAATACCGAGTCTTAACCAAAGATATACCTTGTTTCTATGAATCTGACGAGAGGTGTGGGTGCCGGTGTGGTTGTGTGATGATAGAGAATGTACGTACACTTACACCATCGATAGTTCACCTGCGGAAATACATTCACAACCTGCAGAGAATATTAACTATCCTTCATTATTACTAACAGATGCAATATGTGATCAAATACATTCACAAACGGGTTTCTATGCTCATCATCGTGTAGTTCAAAACGATTTATTATTTAATGATGATCAAAATACCCGGTTATCGAAGAGAACTGACGAAATGTAAAATGCATTAGAAGAATTAACTGTACGAACGAATAATGAATTTTGGGTGGGTGTGAGTGTGAATGAGACTACGGAGAAAAACTAAAGACTTACACCCATTCACACCCACACCCAACAGGTTCGATGGTTTGCTGGCATTGAATTTGATAGAGCATTCGTTTTAAAGAAGTTGTTAGAAATGGATGTCTAAACGATTTCTTTTAGTTTCTGATCCTTAAAAATAAGAAGAAAGGGAAATTAAAGCAATGTTACCATCTTTCGCAATGAGTAACGTGCATGATCACTATTATAAGAGTGTAGTAGTTAACCTTTTCTATCCAAGTGTTGCCAACTGGCAACATTTTGTCGTAGAGGGAATTCTGCTTTTCTCAAGTAGCCGGCTGGAAAGAGATAAAAGTAAAGTGTCAATAAGTCTGATTATTCTAAGGCATGCAGTATATTGTTTCATTAATTCTGTCGATTCCTTAGTCGTTGAAGGCATGCATTGTAACGGAAGAGCTGCTCCTCATTTCGTTTTCTTTTGTCTTTTAAGGCGTTTTGGACGGCTCCCTGAATTCTTGCCCACTTTTTGTCTGATGCTTCTTTGGAGATTCCATTCCAATTGCTGCCAGCTCGATAATGTAAAATTAAAATGTCACCAATGATGCCATGATCGTTGAGTTTACCTTTATTTGAAACATTTGGCCATATTAGTTCGTACAAGTCAGGATTTTGGTGAATACGCTCAATCATCTCTGGACTTTGACGTTGATATTGTTCTTGGCACCCACTTCTATCACCGTGAATATCACACTGTGCATTCCATATCCCCTTGATACGAATCAAAGGATGTTCTTTAATCCAATAATAAGACTCACCGCCACTATCAACATCTGAGTTACCGATTCGAACTGATTTCCATCGCATCTTGTTGAGGTCTGGAATAGACTGTATATTCTGAAAAATAATGAAGTTGGGCCATATATAGAAAATATAAGGCCCAAGTTTGTGCTCATGTGGTCTTCGCTGCCAGACAGTCATAATGTCATACTTTGCTATTGGCATGACATCTTCCCAAACCCAATCATTAATGAAAAACATATCAACATCGAGAAACCAAACTCGGCCTTTATGTTTCGAAGCGTGTTCTTGAATAATCCAATGAACAACAGAACCGTGAGAATTCGATGGATGGTTAATTTGAAGTGTATAAGGTACACGAATATATTTCACCTGAAGTTTATCACATAGTTTTTTTATGTCATCTGCTATTTGTGGCTTGTCACGGAAACTGTGGTCAAAAACCACATATTCAAAAGAGTTATTCGGAAGAAATGCAAGCGCAGAAGCATAATTCATTTCAATGAAATCAATGCGATTGATGGCAATGATGATAAGAAGAGTTTTAGAATCCGTAGAAGGAATTAAGAACTGTGGTAACTGACATGTTTTGTTTGTGTAAGATGTGGACGATATTGATAATGATGAATTTGAAGAATAATTTAAAGTTTGTTTATTAGATGATGTATTAGTCGGATAAGAAGGGACCAGGCGATTGTTTGTTAAAAATTCCGAATTCTTAAATACATTACTAGTCCCAGTGATAAATTTATTATATTTGGTTATAATATAAAGACTAAATATGATAATTATCAATAATATTGTCACCCAACGAACTATCGAGATAGATTGCATTGATAGAAAACGAAATGCAAAATCGTCAGATACGTATAATCGGAGATGGTGAAGCACGATATTTGACTAACGTATTAAAATACAACACAGTAACTTTCATTCTCTTTTCATCTACAACACGTCCTTATCTTCATTTTTTCGTCTAGATAATCACCACGTTGCGATATCAGTAAGAATGAAATCGAAGAAGTCGGAGCACAATATTTGACTCATGCATTACAACACAACTCAATATCTTTCATTCTCTTTCAATCTACAACACGTCTTTATCTTCATTTTTTCGTCTAAAGGGTATAGGTGTGGGTGAGAAGTGAATGTGTTATGAGAGAGAATGTACGTACAGTCACATCCTCGATAATTCACCTGCGAAAATGCGTACACAACCTGAAGAGAATATTGTTCATCCTTTATTATTGCTAACAGATACAATATATGATCAAATACATCCACAAACGAGTTTCTATGCTCATCATCGTATAGTTCACAATCATTTATTATTTAATAGTGATGAAAATACCCGATTATCAAAGAGAACTGATGAAATGCTAGATGTATTAAGAGAATCAACTGTATGAACAAATATGTCATTTGATTTTCATTTTCTACTTATCAACTTGATAATTGCAGAGAGGAAAGACTTGCGCCGCATATGACGATAATATTTGTTAGTGTATACAATACAAATCTTGAAGGTGTGGGTGAGATTGTTTGACGCTATTTTCAATTTTATTTATTTAAAATGAGATTAACTAAGATCTATTTCATCGATATGGATATATACAAATGTGTAAAAATAAAAATGAATTGTCTTTTTTTTTGTTGTGCACCAATGTTTGGTCAACTTCAAACTACATCTCCAATAGTTGCTTTCTTGTCAATATTCTGATTAGGAATCTTCGCATCTTCAGCGTTTTGTACTTTATTCGAGAAGGGTGCAGGCCCGCCACCGGTCGAGCCAGTTGCCACGACAGTACCTGCTCGCAATGCTTTATTAAGTTTGGCCGACGTGAGGGGTGATGAATTGCTAACAAGATAATCGACTTGTTCGAGTGATAAACCTTTTGTCTCCCAAATACAGAAAAACGCAAAGAGAAGACAACCTACACACGTCGAACCCCATACGAAGAATACTTTGGAACCCAAGTTTCCTTTGTCAGAATCAACCATATACGGTGTAGCATAGCCGAGACCAAAGTTCCATAGCCAGCTGGAAGCGCTCGATAGAGACATGCACTTAGCGCGGATGCCTAGAGGATAAAGTTCACCTGTGACGACCCATGCAGCAGGACCCCATGTCGAAGCAAAGAAAGCAATGTAGATGCACACGAATGCAATAAGTGTCTTTTGTGCTGCTTCGTTTGATTGACCGACTATCGTACCAACGATGGCGACAATGAATTCACAGACTAACATGCCAGCAGCACCAATCATAAGAATCTTGCGTCGACCTAGCTTGTCCATACCCCACATGCCAGGAATAGTCATACCGACATTGACAACATTGGTTGCAATCGTAATCAAGAATGGTAGCTGGATACCAGAGGCTTGGAAGAAAGATGTACCATAGTAAAATATGAAGTTGATGCCAGTCAGTTGTTGCCATGCTTGAAGAAAGACGCCAACCAAAGTTCGAAGAAGATTCTTTTGAGGTCCCATTTTAAAACAGTCAGCATAAGTAGCAGAACCGAACTTTGCCATAAACTCCATGTTGGCAACGATCTCCTTGATGTCAGCGTCGACTTTGGGATCATCAACCGTGCTCGAATTCAGTCTAGCTTGCGATCGATAGGCTTTCTCGGTACGACCCTTCATAATGAGAAAACGTGGTGATTCGGGTAGAATGAACATACCTAACGCAAGGATAGAAGCCCATATAAGTTGAATTCCAATTGGAATTCGATAGCAAGCGTAGGATGCAATATCTTTGGTTCCGTTGTTGGCAATGGCAGCAATAAGAAGGCCAATAGTAATAAACCATTGGTAACCCGAGACGATGGCACCTCGAATCCATTTGGGAGCACATTCTGATTGATACATAGGAACAATACACGAGATTATACCGACACCAAGCCCTGCAACAACTCGACCCACAACGAAGAGTGGAAGTGCGGTAGCAGCTGTTTGAAATGCAACACCAATCGAGAAAATTAAGCACGCCAATATTAATCCCCATCGGCGGCCAAGAAAATCGCCGCACGGATAACCAAGTAATGCACCAAAAAATGTGCCTGCCGATAAGATAGAGACAATCAAACTTTTGTCGCTGGAGGCAAGAGCATATGTTCCATCCGCCTGCACATCACCAAAGGTCTGGAGAAAATAATCCATAGTGATAATACCAGAGATCGTGCCTGTATCGTAGCCATATAAGAAGCCACCAAAAGCAGCAAAAGCCGATACCACGATGGCCATCGGATTTTCTCGAAGTTTTTCGATGAGTTTAGGCATCTTAAATGACGATTTAAATTTGCTTGCCTGTATGCAGTGATCTGCGCAATGAATAAAGAAAAGAAAATTGAAACAGAAAGGGGTGTGGGTATGAACGGAAAAGAAACTTCCTTCTTTTTTTATTCTTGCATATACACGATCGACTATCTCCTAACTCTCTTATTCTCTCTGAACATGTAGAAACGTATTAAAAACACTTCAGCACAATCCCTGTGGAATTAAAATGTGGAAGACAATACAACTATTTAAGTACTCAAGAAGAACCCTTTAGTGACATTGAACAATTTCTTCAACGTACATGTTTCTCGCTCTAAACTTCAACACTCTTTGACAGAGTTAGTGTACATATTATAATTACAATACTGTGTATGACTGTATGTGGATGGCTTCCGTCAATCTTACTTACCTTGTTTAATTTAAACAATCTTGCTCTCCTCTTTTTATAGGCATCAACTTCACAAGACCAGGTGAACTCATGCTTGTGTTAAAAGTACAAAACGAATGGCGCAGTTGTCGACATTATGTAATCATCATGTATTTGCTTGTCTTATGTAAAAAGTACATACATAAGAACAGGATTGATTGCCTTCACAAAACAAATAGGTAACGGCAACTCAATTACGCGAGTAAGATTGATGGAAGCCACACACATACAGTCATACACGATACTATAAGTAAGATATGTACACTGATTCAATCAAAGAAGGGTATGGATGTAGGTGTATGTTTCATCTTCTTTTACACTCACACCCTCACCCTCAGATACTCTTAGAATAAAACTTTTATTTTTTAAGATTTCTAAAAATCTATTTTGATATGATATTATTGTATTATAGAAAATATATTCTTCATTATGATCAATGAAGAATAATCATTAATTAATCGTTAATGTTGAAATGGGTGTAGTGAGAATAAATTCGAATAATGTCAATTTATTGTATTGTGACGAATATTGTTGAAGATACAAGCAAAGATGACGTACAGTTGCGTGTTGATCTATTAAATAACTATAAACTGTCCAAAATGATTCAACCAAAGTTTGATTGCGAAAGGTAGCATAAATAAGTGGGCGATTGGCTTCCGAGGCAGCAATTAATTGAATGATTGCTATTTAAAATAAATCTAACATTTTCATTAAACTTTGTGAATAATTCATACCTTTCATTTCTCTATTTCCATTAAATGCGCTTTTATTAATTCACGAGCCATATTCTCAACAGTATATTGTGTTAGTGGATTTGCATAATAAATTGCATCCATAGCTACAACATGACATAATTTTCGACCCCAACTATTTCTTAATGAATAATAAGAATAAATGCATTATTAATATGCAAGAATTGTCTTTTGACTTACTTCGGTGTTTTATCAATATAATCTGCATTATGGCTTTAAAAGTATTTGCATAACCTGTATAAGTTGAAAATTGTTCACAACCAATAAGAAAAATACATTCATTTGATTGCATCTTTTCACAAACAAGTAAACTAACAAGCATTTCAGTAGAAATCGTGAAACGTATTTCTTCTTGAACACATCCTTCATCCATCACACTACCATCCTATTTAAATTCTTCAAATCTAAAAACTATTTCATAGATCATTTTCTACTCACAATATACATATTAGCAAAATCAACTTGTAAAAAACCATGCATATCGTCAATGGTAGAATTTTATTAGAACAAAAATTCTCATTGCATACTATCTGCAGTAATCCGTCGAAAATAATGTAAAATACATTTGAGTTTTTCAATTTTCCATGATGATCCAGTTTCGAAGAGTCTTTCAGAAGACGATATTTTGTATATAGATATAGACAAAGAATATATCATTTACTTATTAAAATTGAGATTCTGATATATATCGTGAATGTTGCTCATATTTTCATGCGATCGAGAAGGATGTAGACAGAAAAAGGCACAGGTTAATAATGAAGCAGCCTGTCGTTGAGACATAGTTACAGAACGTTTAGAGTAAATGTGTAACAACGGTGGTGGCTATATATAATATAACAAATACATTGTATAGATGTCTATGATTCGAACCTGACTGCAAATTTTATCAACATTAACAGCAAGAGTGATCATTTTAGGAAGAATGACACACATGAATTGATTTCGTTCATCAATTGAATATATCTCATAAGAATTAATGTATTGATCAAATGAACATGAATGTTTAATATTACTTGATTAATCAAATATTTAAGAGAACCCATTTCATAACTAATTCCAGTACATTTTTCGATCGCTTTCTCAAAAATGTATATCAATAATTGAATAAAATCAACAAATCAAAATATACTTTTATAGTATTAACTGTTCCAGTATTCGCTTCACACTTTTCTTTAAGCTTCATCAATGCAATTTGAATAACACACCATTTAGATGTTCCATCGCTCTACGAATGAGTATAATATATTGATTGATAAATAATTTATGAATACAACTTACAGTTATATTACCCGCTGAACAAGGCACACGAACATAATCGTTTTGCCATACGTCACGATAAGTATCTATTTCGTGAACTGGCTCAGGTTCACAATCAGGATTTGATGAATCATATTTGAATGGCTATTTAGAAATTTGAATTCAACACAGATCACCGTATTATACGCAAAAATATACTTTAATCATAAATGTATGATCAACATCACGAACATCTTGCATATCGTTTAGATTCAAAGGCTGTCCGAACAGATTCGGAATGTCAGTCAATGGTACACCCTACAATATCATTTGCATGTTTTAATAAATCAAAAATGATGAAAATCGTACTCGAAATGTATTTAACATGGTATCGTTTATATTAAGTTGTACATTAGCCATGTTGAATTTAATGATCTTAGATTGTCAATCTGAAATAACCAATATTATGACAGAATCAACTATTTGAGGTAAATATTTTTAAAACTGTGACATATATGCAATCTATGGATTTAGTATCACCGTCATTGAAGATCAACTTCAATGATATTTGAACTAAATTTGAATAATCACGAGTAACTTCTTTTGTGGAGTAAAGTAGAACGACTATATTGCATGTTTTTATTTGCTGTGAAAAAAAGCTATGCGTTTCTTATCGTCACATTTTTTGCTCATTCTTTCGTTGACATAGTAGAATTTTATTCAATTCTTTTACAATCATGACATGTGGATGAGATATACGGTATATTCTCCCTCATCATACTTTTTGTTCCCACTCGACGTGTTAACACGAAATTAATGTCAGACTCACCAGAATAAAGTTGTTTAAATTGAATGATTTACAAAAATTCTAATAGTTTCTAAATTTTCGATAGTATCGTGTGTATGTGTGAGATTGAATGTTCTTTTCGCGAAATAATCTGTTTAGTTTGTTATATAAGGTAACAACATTTGTCACTTTTTTTTTGGTTTTTCTCCACTAGGTATTCTATTGCGAAAGAATGAGCAAAGATGGCAAAAAAAATCTTTCAAGATCAACAACAAAACAAAAAATATTACTGAGAAGAAAGAGAAAAAGAAGTCATATGAACTGAAGTACTGTGCAATTAAACATTGTTAACACAAAACTGTATTCTCCTTAATGAAAGATAAAGATTTACTTTATTTCTTTAATCTTTATTATGAAAGTGAAGATAAAGGTTTTTGTAACTTTATTCTTTATTATAAAGTAAAGTAAAGATAAAATAACACCCCGAATTCTCATCGTCAAAAACTTAAAGATATTCTTTATGAGATTTTTTGTCGATCAAAAATAAATCAAAAAGATAAAATACCTGTAGAAATACGAAGCAGAGCACATTGTAGAAAGAAGAAAAAGATGAAATAACAATAAAATACGAGTGTATGCAAGAAGTAATTGAAAAAAAACCATTTTCCTATATCACAGGTAGAAACAAATCATTCTTCAGTAAAAAAAAATTGCGAATAAAAATGACTGCATTATCGTCAGTTACTATTCTATGGTAAGATATAATAAATCGAACAAGACTAATTTGTGACTAAAAGATGTTTTCTACAAACATATGTACATCTTTTTAGCGTATTAATTAATGCATTTGCACACACGTCATCCAACATTGATATAACCCAGGACACCGCGTTAAATTTAGTGACCAAAGCACTGAATGATGTTGACTTTGCATCGGTACCTTCATTAAATAGCTGCATGGAAATGTTTGAGTCCGACGATAGTCATAAATTAAACGACGTATTAAAAATTTGCTCTGAAGCACTTACTGAGCTTAGCATTGTACCCAAAGATGAAGACAACAACGATCATATTGATAATAATCGAATTATTGCTCGTCTCGCACGAAATTTTCTTGCCGATAGAATAACGGAAAATATTACAAGATTCACTAAAAATTTGAACCACATGGATGATGGTTTTCGTTATGTTCGCGATGAATTTTTCGTTTCTGATGATAGTGAACAATTCGATTATTTTGTAAGTGCAATGCAAACTGGACGTCCAATTGGACTTACTACAGACTCTTACAACTCGACATTACTCTTTGCATGGGCAGTATACAATTCAAAGACATACTTACGACTAAACAAATATATCTTAGAAAAACGACAAGAGCAAAATAAATCGATCTATATACTTAGAACCTTCGATAGTGAAGAGAATTCTGTTCCATCTTATATTTATGGTACAAATCTTCCTATGGATGTTTACTATTCGACAAAATTAGTATTGATACATATATTAACTGGTAAAGGTTACCTAACCAAATATGCAATCGATGATATGGATTATGTAATGATACTGATCAATGATAAACAAACAATCCATAGGAAGCAAAATGATCTATGAAATCATCTTTCATATAAATAAAAAAAAGATAATCATGATATTTATACTAACATATTTATTATTTGATTAAATTTTTTTTGTTATATTAAAGCTAGTATATGAACAACTACACAAAAGACAGACAAAATATTTTAACGTTGACGAACTGAACTAGCACGCATAGTTGAAGATGCTCGAACTATTGTAGATTCACGTAAATCGCGCTAGAAAAAGAAAAAAAAAACATATTATTAAATTACTTGACCGCAATAGACTTACAATTTCTGAAGAACGACTTGCACTAACTGATGATCGATTTTTAGCACGTAATTTACCAAGTTGATTTTCAGCTATATCAGCACGTTCAGCTGATTCTTCTATAAGAAAATGAAAATTTTTCTCCAAATTTATTTTCCTTGAATCAATCAATTAACTTACCAAGATCAGTTTGAACTTTACGAAATTTAGCCAAATTAAGTGCAGCAATTTCCTCTGGAAAAAAAAGTATATTATAATATTGTTTTTTTTTTCAAAAATCTATGTACCAGCTTCTTCGACTTGACGTTTGTAGACTTTAAGTTTTGCTTGTAATTTTTCAGTAAGATCTTGTAAACGTAATTGATTCTTACGATCTTCTTCAGTTTGAAATGCAAGTTCTTTCAAACGACGATCATTTTTACGTAATTCTTTAAGAGTTTCTTGATGACGATGTTGTTCTAATTCATTTTCAGCTTCTAATTCATGAATCTAAAGAAAACAATCAATACATATTTTCTTTTTTTCTTTTTCGATTTACGTACACGTTGTTCAAGTTTACCAATAATACGTTTTCCACCTTTAAGTGTACCTCCTTCTGATTCATCAAGACGTATTTGAAGATCTTTAACTTGTTGTTCAAGACCTTTACGTAATCGTTCAACTTGTAAAGCATGATCTTGTTCTTGACGTAATTCTTCAACAAGACGTGTAGCATCACTACCAGCTTTCTTAGCACGTTCTTCACTATTCTTAAGTTCACTAACAGCTTCATCTAAATCAGCTTGCATAGCAGCAATAGTTGATTCAAGTTGTCGTCGTTGCGATGATAAATTAGCATTTTGTGTACTAACATCACTAATACGATCAGCTGCATCATGTAATTCACTTTCAGCTGCTTTACGTGCACGTTCAGCTTGTTCTAAAGCTGTACGTAATTCTTCAAGTTCACCACTAATAAGATTAGCACGACGTTCAGCTACTAAAGCTACTTCTCGAGCTTCATCACGTTGTCGTTGTTCTTCTTCAACTTGTACTTGTAATTCTAATATATTTTGTTGAACACGTTTTAATGTCTTTTGTAAATCAGCATTTGTACGATTAGCATGATCAAGTGCAACTTCAAGTTCATTGATATCTGATTCAAGTTTCTTTTTCTAGATAAAAAACAATTGATATTTATATGAAATAAAAAACTGAGTTTATTCTTTTTCTACTTGTTTAAGTGCTTCAGTTTTTGATCGTGCTTCAGCTTCTAAACTTGCTTGCATAGATTCAAGTGAACGTTGATGATTACGTCTTGTATTTTCAAATTCTTCTTCTTTCTCATGAATTCGTCGATCAATTTCTTGTCGAACTGTACTTAATTCCATTTGTGCACGAAGAACTTTAGCTTCTTCTTGTTCAAGAGTAGATTCAGCATCTTCTAATGCAGCTTGTAATTCTTCTTTCTCTAATTCAGCACGTTTACGAGCTTTCTCTAAATCATGAACATTCTTTCCACCTTCACCTAATTGATCAATAAGATCCTAAGGAAGAAAAACAAAACATAAGATTTTTTTCTTTTCTTTGTATAAATTCAACAAACTTTTATTTCATCAGCTAAATTCTTATTTTCTTTACGAAGTGCATCAATTTGTTCATGTGATTCTTCATATTGTTGTTTAAGTTTAAATAATTCAGTTGAAAAATGTCGAGCTTCTTTTTGTGATACTTCAAGTTCAATAGTTATATCTTCACATTTTTGTCTCCATTCATTAATTAATTTATCAAATTGTTTTTGTTTTTTATCCATAGCCGATGCATCTGAATTAAAAATATATTTTTTATAGATTATTCAAATAAAGAAAAACACTAAACTTACTAGCGTTAGCACGTTCAACATCAACCATAAGATCTTCAACTTCACCTTGAAGACGAGATTTAACTTTTTCTAATGCATTACATTTATTTAATGCAGCTTCAACTTGTTCTTCAGCTTCAGTTAATTTAGAAGCTAATTTTCGTTTAGCTTCCTCGAGTTCTTCACCACGTGAAAGACCTTCAGATTCATAACGAGCTCTCCATTGTTGTACTTCAGCATTGAGTTTTGAAACTTGTTTTTGAAGTTCACTTCTAGCTTCTTGTTCTTCATCGAGTTGTTCACGTGCTTGATCAAGATCAGATGTTAAATTACGAATTTGTGTATCTAAATAAATATTTAATAATCAAAAAACAAAAAAATATTTATTCTTGAAAATACTTACGAACTGAACCTTTGCCACGTAATTCATCATCAATTGTTCGTTTAGCTTCATCAAGTTGTTGTTGTAATAATAATTTCGCTTTCGTCATAGCAACAAGTTGATGTTCAAGATCTTCAACTTGTCTAGTTAATTCAGAATTTTCACCTATTAATTTTGTTTTACTATGAGTTAAATCAGTTATTTGTTTAATATGATCTTCAATTTTAATTTGTATTTCATTTAATTGTTGTTCAAGTTGTTTCGAAAGTTTTTCAGCAGCTACTTTACCTTTTTGTACATGATCAATTTGTGTACGTAAATCATCTAATTCCGATTTCGCTGTTTGTTTATCTTTTTCTAATTTATTTTTTAATTTTTGTAATTGATCGATTTGTTCACCCATTTCAGTAACAGCATCTTGATGTTTTTTACGAAGTTGTGCAGCTGTAGCTTCATGTTGAAGATTCGCTTCTTCTAAATCACGACGAAGTTTTTGTAATTCTGATTCACGTTTTTTATTCATTTCAACTTGTGATGATGTTGCACCACCCGCTTCTTCTAAACGATCATTCATTTCATCAATTTCACGTGCTAAATCAGCTCGTTGTTTTTCGGTTTTAGTTCGTGCTTGTCGTTCATTTTCAACTTCTTCTTCTAATTCTTCAATACGTGCTTGTAATTCTTTTATTTTCTTTCCAAGACTTGTTGCTTGTCCTTGTTCATCTTCAAGACGTCCACCCATTTGTTGAATTTCTTGATCTTTACGTTTAAGATTTTCTTGTAATTCATGTTTTGATCGTTCTAAATCTTCAAGATTAGCTTGAATTGATTTTAAATCAGTTTCAAGTTTTCGTTTTGATTTATCAAGATCAGCTCGTGCTTTCTTTTCACGTTCTAAACTACCTTCTATTTCATCTAAGGTTTGTTCAAGTTTTGTTTTTAATTTATTTATATGATTAACTTTATCTTCTTCCGCTTGTAATTGTTCACTTGTTTTCGTATTTTGTTCTTCAAGACGTTTACGTTCACGTGTTAATTTAGCAATTGTTTCATCTTGATGAGCTATTTCATCTTGTAATGTATGAATTTGATTATCACGTGTTTTACATTCATTTTCAGATTTTTGTAAACTTAAACGTATATCATCAATATCTTTTTTTAAACCATCAATATCATGTTCAAGTTTCTTTTTCTTATTATTTAATTCTTGAGAACTTTCTTCTTCTTGACTAAAACGGTCTTCTAAATCTTTAACTTGTTGTTCAAGATCAGCTTTTTGTGTTACTAAACGTGTATAACGTTCTTGTGCTTCAGATGCACCATTTCGTTCAGATTCCAATTGTTGATATAAATCATTTTTTTCTAAAAAAAAAAGAAAATATTAATTTGATTTTTTTTGTCTCTTTTACCTCGAATTAATTTTGAATTATTATCTTCAACTTCTTTTCTTAATTTTTCTTCTTTCTCTAAAGATTCTTTAAGTGCTTTAAATTCTTCTTCAAGTTTCTTCATTTCTTCTTCTTGTCGTGCAACTGATAATAATGGTTTAACTTTCGTATATAATTTCCACCATGGCCAATTACGTAATGATAAATATTTACGACAATTACGTTGTAAAACTGATAAAGCTAAACGTTTTTCTAACATTCTCTTGTATTCTTTCTTCATAATATAACCACGCATTTGAGCTTGTAAAGAAGAAATTATTTTTGATAAAGCAATGTCACGCATATCTTCAAGTTGACCTAATGTACCAGCTTTGAAGAATACTTTTGTTGTACCACAACGATATAATTCATCACTTAAACCACAATCTTTAAGAATATTTTCTGTTGCTTTTTTTGCATCAACAAAACCTGCAGGAATAGCATTTGGTGCCAAAATTGAATAACGTTGTTTAAATTCAGCATAGATCATTCGATTTGGAAAACCTTTACGACATATACGAATACCTTCAAGTACACCATTACAAGTAAGTTGATGCATGACTAAATGTGAATCAAGAACACCTCCAGTTTTAATTTCATTCGGAATAATACAACGAACAAAATGTGGATGTGTTTGTTTTAAATTAGTCATTAATTTGTTTAATTGTTCCTATAGGAAAAATAAATAATTTTATTCTTTTTTGTAAAAATATACGTACACGATGTGTAGCAGAAATAGTTTGCATACTACCACCACCTTTCTTTTTACCACCAGCACCCTTAGCATTTTCTTCTTCAACAACATCAGCAAAGAGATGAGATAGAAGAACATTTTTTGATTTAGCAAAAAGTGTAGCACTAAAAGTTTGAAATAGTTTTCGTATTTGTTAGAAAATATAATATTTCAACATACACAGTAGTATTAATAGGATCTTTATTTTTTTCAAGCCATGATGTTGCCGTATATGATACAGTACCAGCATAATGGTGAATATCAAAATGTGCTTCTGTTTTACCTTTGCCAGGTTTAGGTTTGCCAAATTGTGGATGTTTACCCAAATGATTATTATAAAGTTTTTCAACAAATGTCTTATCAGTAGCTTTTGGTACGATACATTCTTCTTCCAAAATCGAAAGAATTCCCATAGGCTAAAATAATATATTTTAGTAGTACGTGTTCCTAGCACGATAATTACTCATTTCTAGAGATCTTAATAGTAATTAAGAGAATCTGTTTTTCTTCTTGTACTCTTTTTAAATACGCATATCAAAAGATAAAAGCCTAATATGATAAGAAAACGACATTCTTATAGGAATGTGCCATATACTATATTACAGTAGAGAATAGATAATTAGCTCTGCAACTAAATTCTTATCATCTTATAATATATAAAGATATTCTATTACTTATTGACAATGCTAGATAAGAAAAATTTATTTTTACCTTTTCGATAAGATCAATACAAGCTTGTAAATCCATACCAAAATCAATGAATTCCCATTGTATGCCTTCTTTTTTATATTCTTCTTGTTCTAATACGAACATATGATGATTGAAGAATTGTTGAAGACGTTCATTGGTATAATTAATACATAATTGTTCAAAACCATTAAATTCAAAAATTTCAAAGCCAGCAATATCGAGTACACCAATAAAATATTGACGTTTAGCTTTAACATCGAGCGTTACATTAACACGCTCGACTAGCCAACAAAACATACGATAATAGATAGCTTTGGAAAGAGCACCAATTGAATTTATAACTTGATCTTTATTTTGACCTTTATTAACATATTCATTACCGACCTATTTTTTTTATTTTGAATATAATTAATTATATAAATTAATAAAAAGAAAATAAATATAACCTTAATACGTGGTTTAAGTAAACCTTTGATAAGATCAGCTGCTTCAACACCAAGCAAATGAGCAACTTTTTCACAATCTTCTGTACCTTCGGCTTCAGCTTGTTCTTCTCGTGGTCGTTGTTTCCATTGAGAATTACCAAAATGCATAATAGCACTAGTACATTTGAAAAGATTAATCTTTTCATCCTAGATAAATTTCAAAGAAATAGAATAAAAAGCAAATGTTATTTTTTTCGTAATACAAACATGTGTAAAGCCAAGAATATCAAAAGCTTCGTCAGTAAGACGCATTTCATCAGCATCATCAACACCATCAATTGTAAGCATACCTTGAGCAACATAAAAATATTTCGATGGATCATTTTCAATTAAACATTGCTCTAAAAAAATGGAATTATTTATTAATATAATCTACGCATTATTAGTTAATATTTACTATGATAATCAGGAAATGCATTTGAACAGAGTTGGTAAAACATATGATAGTTACGTTCAGCTAAATAATCAGTCTTTAGTTTTAAAAACTAAAAGAACTATTTTACCTGGTTGCTAAAATAAAATAAATTATTATTAATATTTATTGAAAGATAGAAAAATATCTTACTTGAAAGATGACACGAGATTTTTCCAATAGATATACTTCTATATCAGCACCCGCAATTTTACCCGTTGGACCAAAATGAATACGAATAAATTTACCCTGAATGGAAAATATATATCATGATGCATGTCAATCAATCCGTAACTTACAAATCGAGATGAATTGTTATTACGAGTAGTTTTTGCATTACCATAAGCTTCCAATACAGGATCTAATTAAAACAAAAAAATAGATTAAATTTTGTTTAATAGAATTAAATTTAAATTTACTAGCTGAAACAATTTGATCTTCAAGTGTCATTGTTTTCTATTTTCATATTTAAATAAAATAAATAAGACAAATAATTAGTTTTATTTTGATTAATTACTTTTCCTTCATCTTCCTTTTTAGTACCAGCAGCAGCAACCAATGCAAAATATTGAATAACTTTTTTTGTATTCTCTGTTTTACCAGCACCTGATTCACCTGTGATCAACATTGATTGATTTTCACGATCTAAATTTTGTTTATTTATAAAAATTGAACATTCAATTATTATTATTATTACGAAATCAATTAGCTTTACTCCATTTGATTTTTATCAGTATGACCATCTGTCTCTGTCTATCGGTGGTATATTATTCTTATTTAACAGTGATTAAGTGTAATGCCCAGCAGTATATACATTATTTAGTCAATATCCCGTTATTTCTGTTCCTCTTATGCCATCTGTATTATTTTATTAGCATTTTCTTCGCACTACTCTTAATAGATATACAAATACTATCATGTAAAGACTAAATTTGTCTCTGGCTAACGATGCACGGAGAAGAAGAAAAAGATAATAGTTTTATTACCATATGGCGTCTACTCTTCTATTTCTTCGTACAATATTACTGAACAATCAATCGTATTTTCATCTGTTCGCTTAAGGTTCAGAATTCTTTAATGTAACAAATTTACCTCGAAGCATATTTGAGTAAGCATTATCCGAAATAGCATATAAATGTGGTGCAACTTCAGTACGTTTTCGACCACGATATGCCATTACAACTTTCATAGTATAAATTGGTAAGCGTTTATAAGGATTGATGACAACACAAAATAATCCTGAATAAGTCTAAGAAAAAGCAAAAATTATTTTATATTTGAAATGGATAGATATATATACATAGATAAGCCATCGTGAATAACGATCACGTAATGTAGCTAAAACTGAAGCATCATTCAAATAGGTTAAATCAGCCATATCATCGATACACCAATATTTAGGTGGATTCATTTGTTGAACATCATCCTTTTTAACTGTTTTTGTCTAGGATAAAATAAAATATAAAGATTATTTTCTTTGATTAAAACAATTGATCTACATACTTCTCCTTTACTTGTTTTAACAGTAACTTGTTCATTTTTTTCACTTTCAATTTCAGCAGCAATAAATGATTCCTTTGGATCAGGTATCCAACATGCTTTTTTAGCATCAAATGGTTGAGATCGAAGTTTAATTTTTTCTTCTGCAGGAAGAGCTAAATATTTCATAGCCTCCAATAATTCGGGATCATTTGGATTATGATGATATCTATATATTTAGAATTATTAAAAAAAATAAATCAAATTTTAATTTATGAAATATACCCTTCAGACATGATTATTGTTTAATTTAATAAATGCTCAATACACAATACAATCTAATAAATAAATAAAAAAAAAGATATATCTTTTTGTAGAACATTCTGATCGTTACCTGATAATAGAACGAGTTAAGAATGCGTGTGTACAAACACTTTTTCTTGTGATTAACGAACGTTTATATAGTCTCTAAAAGGAGAGATGGAGAGAGAGAAAATATTATTAGCCAAAAAGGAAGATTCTATTCTTGTATTAGCCTTTTCTTGTCGATTCTCTCTCTCTCTATCTATTCTAGAACAATTATTTAGGAATCATATATGGATAGTTTGGTAACCTGCATAATATACAAACGCTCGGCATATGGTTGGCTAAGAATACACGAGAGAGCGAGAGTGAGAGAGGGAAGGAGAGAGAAAAAGATCATCATCTCATCTATTCCATTAATAGATAAAATAGTAGAACTTAGTGCGTCTTAGTTAGACATAAGACTTCTCTATCAATTACAACTCTTTGTTTTTTTTTCTCTTTTATATAAATAGATACATCATATGTACTATTAATAAAACAAAATAAAGTAGAAGAATCATTCGAGTTCAATTATGAATAACATTTGTGTTCATATTCACACAACTACATTCTGTAGTCTACTAGTATATTCTCATAGACATATAAATAAGCAACAAAGGCTATGATTGATAATCAAACATATGTGTTTTCTCGAACAATAGTCAGATTACATAAATGACAGAAGAATCATTCAAACGTATGTAAACACTGGCAAAATGAGAGTAAACATATTTCGGTATCCATCAGTGTAGTATGTTATATAGACTGGATCATTTGATCGTTGAAGAAACATAATATAGACATTGAAACATGTAACATCAGAATATATTTTATGAAATAGATATGACAAGATAATAAATTCAATGTAAGAGAATATCACGTATATGTTTTAGTTGACATTTCCTTAAGTTAAACAGATAATATCTATTAGAAGTAGATGCTTTACAGAAAGGTCAACTAATAATTAATCACAGAAGTTTATTCAATCACTAAATCTCATAGGAAATTCATACTTCAATTAGTATAATTTATCAATACTTTGACTTCGAAGTATCGATTTTTACCATATGCGCTTATATACACTAACTAAAAATTGTTTAGTTAAACAGACTGATGATAGAATCATAATGAAACAAAAATTGTTTATGTCAATATGACTATAACTATTTACAGATGAATATAGTCTCGTTTTTCTTTTTGTTCTATTCATAGCTTCTATTGGATACTGTATAAGTATCATTAAAAAAAATATGCAATTAACAAAGAAATCTTTCCTAATATTAGCTATTAGTGTTAAGTAGTAGATAGCGTCAATAACATCACGTATGTATTTGTTTCTTTCTTTTGATTCTTTTGTATATAGATATAATCTTGTCGATATCCCTTGTCAGTATACAGTTGCTCATTTATTTCCATATAAGGAAAAGAAGGAGAAAAAAATATATCAGTTACTTTTTTATCCATCAATACAATTTCTATCGAATAAGATACAAATAATCTAAGGTGTTGATAACATTAAAAAAAATTAATAGAATCAGTGTGTAAATCATAATAGAATTAATCGAGACAGAATACATGATGTTCTGTCAATGATAGAAGAATACTAATAACTAGATGTCAACAGAATCAGTTTTTCTTGGCTTTCTGTCAATCAAAAATTCCTGATAGTTTATAGCTGAAAACTATTCTTTATCATTATTTACACATAAAATATGTTGTATGTATATTACGATGAAGTTTTCTATATGTATTTATGAATTTTCTCATTAAAAAAAATCAATAAGTTGGTTCATTAGAATACTTTGATCTCGCTGATAGAATGATTATCAACTAAGATTGCTTTGAGACATATGATAGTCTAAACATTTTTTCTCTTGCTTATTATCGTATAGACATAATTATAGACACGTTTTTTTTGGCAAGTTATCTTTCTTTCTTTGTATTTATAAATATGATAAACAATTAACTACGGAAAAACATATTAGTAGAAAAGTTCAACTATATATGATATTATACATAAGTAAAAGTTTGATAAATATCTTTTATTACTTCTATTGATACACAATAATCAAAACTATTAATCTAATATATTTTTCTGGAAAGTTTTTCTCATTTATATTGAAGATAGAAAATATATTAGATACTAAACAATAATATCAGTCAAAGATGGATTAAGCTGTCATATACTAAAAGTCGCTAGACTTGATTGATTGACAAAAACATTGCTAAAAAAAATTTATACAAAAAGGTTAATGTCAAAAGAAGATTGATTTATCTATTATAACATTTATTAACCATGTAACATCTTTTATTTTCGAACAGAGAACTCATGCACAATATTGTTTATATCTACGTGATTAATAATAATAGATATGATCTATTTTTTAATTTTATAAAACACGATCTTAAAGGAGTGTTTAGGAGTACAAATTTGCATCCACTACTCCCGTAACTACTGCAATTATAGAACTTAGAACATCAGGTAAGAAACTTGTACTTGAAGATATCAATGGAAAGTAACTTATTAGAAAAGACTATATATACATATATCTTTTCATTATTTTATAGTGCACTTTTCAAAATTCGTCAAAATGGTATTCGTTTTCTTGATCAATTTAATATTTTATCAGCACGTGATGAGGATTCAGATCGACAAATAGCATCGATTAGACAAAAATTCACTTTTTTTAAACATAGTTATATTATCTATTCAATTTATGGTGAATATAAAATGAAAGGTCTTGATATATTTGATCATTCATTTACATTAAAAAACAAAAATGAAAAAATATTTTTCTTTTGCTGATACATATGGAATTGAAATGATTGAGTCAAATAATGATAAACAACAAGAAGATCATGCATTTATTTGGTTTACTCCCGATTCGTCCCTAATTAATCAATTAAGAAATTTCTCATTTTTAATTGATTCCCAACTCGTCCCTAACATAAATAATTCGTATTTAATCGATTCCCAATTCGTCCCGTAATTAAAAAAATCGTATTTTATTGATTCTGAATTCGTCCCTTATCGATTTCTCTCTATTCAGTTACTAATTAAGTTCAGTATTATTGAGAAGTTATGTTTCTCTATCATAGAGTTATATTTAACAAAAATTACAATACATTATCATTTATAGTAGTAAGATTTTTCTCTTTTGATGCATAATAACAAATCTTTCCATGACGTTCAGATGATGTGAATCGAAGCATAACAAATTAGATACAACCACGCCAGTAGATTATAGATACATGTTTGTTGAGTTTGTAAAGCGTTGCTGTATATTAATTGTTTCTTTCGTAAATTTAACTGATACTCTTACACATGAAACAGCGAATATTTATATCAGAGATTATGTAAGGTGGAATATTCCAAGATATATCTTAATACACTTGGAAAATATCAAAGTCATTCTATACAAGTGAGATCACTAAGGAAAAATACGTGACAGAAAGAAAGAAAAAAAATATACTTGACGATATATATATATATACATGTAGGTAAGAAAGAGAACGAACACATATATGTAAAATTCCCTTAATTGTTAGAGAAAAATCGAAAAGGGACGAATTCAGAATCAATAAAATACGATTTTTTTAATTAAGGGACGAATTGAGAATCGATTAAATACGACATCTTTAACTACGGGACGAATTGGGAATCAATTAAAAATGAGAAATTTTTTAATAGACCAATTTGGGACGAATCGGGAGGATCCCATTTATTTTAGCATTGATTATTGTTTTACATTGTTCACTTTATTGTTCATAACAAGAATTATTCTCTAATATGTTATAGAGAAAACAATCAAATTGATAATTAAATAATTGTATATTATCTATTATCTATTTTTATAATTAATTCAATGTGTTGTTTCTTTTAATGTACAAGTTTTATCAATCATTGTGTCATATACAAACGATTATTTATTAGTTTGAATATTCAATAAAGTACAATGATAAAAAATAGTTAAAATTAATTATGAAATCTTCGAGTATATATTATGAAGTCAAATTGCTTAAGAACTTATCGAACCGATAAAGCTACAAGCACATCAATAAAAATTCAATTAAACTAAGTCTATGATAAAATATCATTTTGAATACATATATTAGAATTTTTTGAAATAAAATTGATAAAATATTCACGGAAATCTAGATTATCTTATAAATATCTAACCATTGTATATGTGAACAAAAGAAATTTTGAGGAAGTTTTAATATTTAGAATAATAATTTGTAGAATGGAATGATACTATTATAAAGATATTGAACGTGACTAAAGCGATGAAACACGAATTAAATATAAATCAATTTATTCTATTTTGCACAATAAGACGACTGAGAAATCTTGTCGCCAATTAAAATTCTATTCGGGAAAATGTGATACAGTTTCGAATCTTTCATCATTTTTATTCATCAGTCAAAATATTTTATATAATACTTTCTGATCAATGTTTCTTCATAGTTGTGCATATTCATACAAATTAAGTTTAGAGATATTTCCATTTAGATTATGTAAATACAATGCAAAACGAAATGATTATCACAAGTCTTGAATATTTAGAAAAAAAGAAAAATCAGAATATTTTGAGGAGAATAGAAATACGATAAGATCTACGCTGTCTGTCATATCCACTATAATTCATCTTCAAATAATTCCAAATTTAAGAATATTTTATCGATTTCATTTACTAACTTATTTTCTTTGGTGAAAATATAAAAAACGATAATAATTATTGTGTTGCTAGAATTCAAAAAAAATTTTAATTCCTGAATATTGTTCTAAATTAAAACAAGAGTAGCATTATAATTAAACCAAGAGTGGAAGTAAATAATAGCTTTCTGTATCTATATAATAATTCAGAAGGAAAGAAAGTGTAAAATAAATTGAAGTTTATCGGTATTAATTTTTACCAACTACAGATTTCAAGTTGAATCGATATTGAATTTCTGTACTCGATGATTGCCATAATCGATGACATAAAGATTCCCTTGTTTATTGAATGACAAATCCACCGGATAATGAAGTTGATTTGCTTCTGCTCCTAAATTAGTGTCGCCAACAATGATACTACCTTGTATAGCATGTTTAGACCAACGCATTATTCGAGAATTGCATTGATCTGCCACATAGACATTACCTAGCCGATCGACTGTCACACCTAGAGGAGAGAACAGTTGTCTCCGTTTATTTCCTTGACCTCGACCACCAGCAACTACAATACCTTCCTTTGCACTTTTCATCCATTTCATCACTCGATGATTTCCATAGTCTGATATATACAACGAGCTCTCTCCATCAACAAAAATGTTACAAGGCTGGCTCAACTGATCAAGTTGATTTCCTTGTCTATTACCGCCTGCTACTACTATTCCATTTGTATCTCCCACTTTCCATCTTCTCACTTCATGTTTATCGGAGTCACAAACATAGAGATGACCTTCATCATCCATTGTTAATCCATAACAAGTAATGTTCGAGATGATTGTTTGTCCACTTGTGCCATTCTGACGAGGCCATCGTATCACTCTTTTATTACCAAGATCCGAAATAATAAAAGAATCATTTACCTTGTCAACTATAACACGTGCTGGACAGTTCAGTTGATTGTTCTGGTTTCCAGCTCCATTTCCTCCAGCAACTATATCACCATTTGGTGCACCACATTTCCATTCAACAATACGATGATTCTTAGAGTCAGCAATGTACATAGTTTCGTCTTCATCGATGTAGAAGCTATAAGGATTAGATAACTGATTATTTCTGCTGCCTTGTCCATTACCTCCAGCTACTGTGATACCATGTCGCTTCCATTTTGCATCCATACCAAGATTTGGTAAATCCGATGAGACTAAAATAATATACATTATTAGTAGGAGAACGATTTGACTCCAGTACTTACCATCGCGAAAACAAAGAATTCTGCTCTTTAGTGATCAAAATAACCTCATCTTCAATAAATCTTGTCACATAGATTATGTAAATACAATCATTTGATTGTATCCCTTATTTACTAGTCTCTTTAGTAAATTATAAATTTAATGAATAATTTAATGAAGATATGAAATAAAACACTTAATCTTTTCTGAAACTTACTTGCTTATTCTTATTTAACTACCAGTTTTCATTCGATAGTGTTTATATTTATCGATATTGAACATTTCTACTTTATGAAGTGTTTCTTCTGAAATTTTTAATAGACGTCTTCGAATGATCTCTAGTCATTATAATAAAATCATCCATGTTTTACTTCTTAACATTTTAACTCATGAAAATCTTCCATAACGAAGAGTTTATTATAATCATATTCAAACTGTATTTGTTGGTCTATTTCTGATCGTCGATGCTAATAAAAAAGTTCAAATGAGAATTAGATATTGTTTTTTAATCTTCACAAATATTGTATTTGGTGACGTGTAAAGAAAAACAACATAAAATTTGTTTCTAATTATTTTAATTTCAATGTATTTATCTTTCAACATTTCGAAAGTATAATATTTTCAAAGATTACCTGATACATTAACACGAATTGTACTGATTAATGGTGTCAAATCTTGTTGAATCGTAATGTTTGAGGGTTTATCCAATTCGTTGTTCATTTCTATTAATTGAGTGTTCCATCGTTGAAGATCTGCTTCAATAAAATCATTCTCTTCACGACTTTCTCGTAGTTGTTTAGTCAATGTGTCTAATTTGATTTCGATTTCAGTCAGATATTTCGTGGTATGCTTCAGTATTAATTCTCTTGCTTTATTTGCTGTGTGACGAATTTTATCAATTGAATCTTGCTCCCACTGATTGACTTGTTTCATTAGTGTTTGATTTTCTGGTTTAGCTGATTGATCTGTAAGAGTTTGTCGAAAAAGATCTCGATTTACTTCAATTTCATCTAGTTGTTTGTCTAATTCTTGTCGATGTTCTATCAGATGGTTGTAACAAAATGGTTGAGAACATCCATCACATCGAACTGTACTTTTCTCTTTTCCACATTTAACACATCGTGCTTCACCTGCTGCTGTTGCCATTTATTACCTATTTTGAAGTAAAATGTTGGAAGAAATGAAAAAGAAAGAAAATAATAAAATATTACTTGTTTTGGTAAAAACGTGATGCAAAAAACCTATGAGTCAATATCAACAGAAGATGATAACAACTGGAAGAACAAAAATAAACCATCAAAAATTACCTACTCACCAATGCAAGGTTTCGATAGTTAGAATGACTTTTCGACTTTCTATTGTATTTTGTAAGAATTAAACGAATGTATTCTAGGATAAGACATGTAATAGTATGATATTTTCGTGTTAAATTCTAAACACATTGTACTAGATAGAATCATTTAGATCTTTTAATTATATTTAACACTTCTATAATTCTCGAATTATTTTTACAAAATTTGATTATAACACAAGACTATTATATATGGGTATAAACCGGTGGTTATGGGTAATTCGTCGTACTGGATGCCTAGATAAACTACACAACGTAAATATTTATATTGTGTTTAACTCACACAGATCCATCACACTCCGCTGTTAATTACTTTAAAAAAGGTTTTATTTCCTGATTATTGTTCAAAATTAAAATAAGAATAGTATTACAATAAAATCAAGATTGGAATTAAATAATAGTTTTCTATGTTTATATAATAATTCATGAAAAAAGAAAGTGTAAAATAAAATAAAAGTTTATTGGCATGAATTTTTCTGTACTGTAGATTTTAAGTTGAATCAATATTGAATTTCTGTACTCGATGATTGCCATGATCGACGACATAAAGATTCCCTTGTTGATCAAATGACAAATCCAAAGGACTGCTAAGTTGATTTGCTCCTGCTCCTGGTTTGCTGTCGCCAACAATGATACTACCTTGTGTAGCATGTCTACACCAACGCATTACTCGAGAATTACCGTTATCTACTACATAAACATTACCTAACTGATCGACTACCACACCTGTAGGATACGACAATTGTGTCGGTCCATTTCCTTGACCTTGACCACCAGCGACTACAATACCTTCCTTTGCATCTTTCATCCATTTCATCACGCGATGATTTGCATATTCTGATATATACAATGAATTGTCTCCATCAACAAAAATGCTCCAAGGTGTTTTCAGCTGGTCAAGCTGATTTCCTTCTCCATTCCCACCTGCTACTACTATTCCATTTGTATCTCCCATTTTCCATCGTGTCACTTCATATTTATAGTGGTCACAAACATAGAGATGTCCTTCATTATCCATTGCTAATCCAACACAAGTAATGTTCGAGATAATTGTTTGTCCACTTGTGCCATTCTGACGAGGCCATCGTACCACTCTTCTATTATCAGTATCCGATATAATAAAACAATCATTTACTTTGTCGACTATGACACTTCTTGGATGATTCAATTGATTATCTTGGTTTCCAGCTCCATTTTCTCCAGCAACTATTTGACCATTTGGTGCACCACGTTTCCATTCAACAATGCGATGATTGTTTCTGTCAGCAATGTACATAGTTTCATCTTCGTCGATGTACATGCTATACGGAGTAGAGAATTGATTATTTGCGTTGCCTTGTCCATTGCCACCAGCTACTGTGACACCTTGCTGCACCCATTTTGCATCGATACCAAGATTTGGTAAATGCGTTGAGACTAAAATAAAATATATATTTATAATAAGAGAACTATCTAACTGCAGTCATTATCATCGCGAAAACAAAGAAGTCTTCTTTTTAGTGATCAAAATAAATTCATCCACAATAAAACCTGTCAGATAGAATAAGTGAATGCTATTATTTGATTGTACCACTTATCTACTACAATTTCTCGAGTAAATCATGAATTTAATTAATCAATAGTTTAACACCGATATCAGTAAAAACACTTAATCTTCCTTGAATTCTTTCCGTCATTTTAATCTAACTACCAGTTTTTGTTTAATAGAGTGTAGATTTATCTACATTGAATATTTCTATCTTATAAATTATTTTCTTTCAAAACTTTTAATAGACGTCCTCAGAAAATCTATACTCATTCAAACAATATTATACATGTGCTACTTTGTAATATTGTAGATCGTTGATCCTATTAAAAAGACTTAGATAAAAATTAAATATTGTATTTCGTGACATGCAAAGAAGAATAACATAATTTGTCGATAATTAGTTAAGATTGAATGTATTTATCTTTCAACACATCAAAAAAATAATATTTTGAAACATTACCTGATATATTAACACGAATTGAATTGATTAGCGGTGTCGAACCGTGTTGGATCTTAATGGTTGAAGGTTTATCTAATTCTTTGTTCATTTGTGTTAATTGTTTATTCCATCGTTGAAGATCTGCTTCAAAAAAATCATTCTCTGCACGACTTTCTCGTAGTTGTTCAGTTAATTTGTTTAATTTGATTTCAATGTCAGTCAGATATTTAGTGCTATGTTGTAGTATTAATTGTCTAGCGTCATTTGCTGTCTGACGAATTTTAGCAATTGAATCTTGTTCCCACTCATCGATTTGTTTCATTAATGTTAGATTTTCTGGTTTAGTTGATTGATCTGTAAGAGTTTTTCGAAAAAGATCCCGATTTACTTCAATTTCACCTAATTGTTTGTCTAATTCTTGGCGATGATGTCCAAAATGATTGATACAAAATGGTTGAGAACATCCATCACATCGAACTGTGCTTTTCTCTTTTCCACATGTGACACATCGTGCTTTACCTGCCGCTGTTGCTGTTGCCATTTATTAGCTATTTTGAAAGTGAAATGTTGGAAGAAATGAAAAAGAAAGGTAGTACCAAAATATTATTTGTTTTGGTAAAAACGTGATTGAAAAAAGAACCATGAGTCAATGTCACTTGAAAAAATACACGAATTCTATTGAATCAAAATTTCGAAAAAAATTAAATTTCATAAATAGAGTTTTACAAAAAATGATTAGATGTCGCTTAGAATCAAGATATATGTATATATTTATACAATTTAACTTATTTAATATTAGTTTTATTAAGAATAACTTCTCGATTTTTTTTAAATAATAAATTTCTTTTATTCTAATTTATTTATAAAGATTACCACAAAAACATGTGTAGAGTATGTTAAGTTTGATATTCTTTACAATTTCGTTCAATAGTATAAACAATTTAATACTACGAAGTTTATGTTGTTATAGTCACATTTCTTTCTTCATCTAACCATTGCCGTTTTCTTATTTTACTTTCTACTTTTACAAACACAGTAAATCATTTGATATGAGCGAATGTTTCACATTTCAATCCTACAGAGATTGTGCTAACAACTCATTTTGCTTTAATTGCCTTTTAAGAATAATTTCATTTTTTATTTTCGAATACAGAAATAATAAATAAAACATCATTTCGTCTATCTATACAAAAAGAAGAAGAAAAAAAAGTTTCTGTTCAATTATCTTCCATCTTCGTCACTTCCATCAACATTCATTTCAACCATAAACCCGTCACCAAGAGTTTTACATTTTGTTACAAAAAATGGTAATTGTTTAAACATATAATCTTGATGAATGGATACATCAGATAAACATTGTTCTGGTGATGATGAACCTGTTTGATAACTTTCATGATAACCATGATCACAACTAATATCATCAATTTTTTCTTTTTCATAACATTGACTATCAATTGGTATATGAAGAATCTTATATGTATGAGATTCAGGTGAAGAATTATTTACCAAATGTTGATCAATAAAAGATTTTTCATTCCAATATGATGTCTAAAAACAATAAAATATATTAAATTAAAATTTTTTTCATAAATAAGAAACTTACTCGAATAATTTGTTGATGTTCAATAGATGATGATGTTGTAACTGTTGAATTTGATGTTGTTAATTGTTGTGATGATGAACATAAAAGTTTATTTCGTGATACGATTGCAGCTTTATGTCTTTGCCGATGTTGCCGTATTAATATACATATAATAATAATTGATATTAAGAATATAAATGTTATTGTTAAAATAATAATCGCAAATATAAAAGCAAAATAATTTGTATGAGAAGATTTTTTATCAAAATATAATTGAATTTTATCAAATGATGAATAATACGAATTTAATGAATCACCAAATGCAATATTTATTTGAATTAAATTATGTTGAGATGGGTAACCATAATCTTCAAGTAAAATTTTTAATGTAAATAAACATATTTGATGAATATCTGATGTTAAATATAAACTACCATTTTGATTTAATTCAAATAATGTTTGATTGAAATTTAATGGAATATTTGAATCAATTGATTGAATATTATATTTAATTTTTCCATTCAAACCAGAATCTTTATCAGTTATATTTAATTGAATAAATTGATTTTTAAATGATTTTTGTATATCAAAAAATAATTTCGTTTGATTATTATCAATTAATTCCGGACGATTATCATTAATATCTTCAAGAAATATTTCCAATTGACAAGAATTTTTATTGACATTTTTTATTGGTATTCCATTATCTTCAAGATCAATTGTTAATAGAAATGATTTCCAATCCGATTCATAATCAAACGATTTTTTTGAATATATTTCACCAGTTTTTTCATTGATATTAAATGGCCATGTAGAATTTGTTCGAAATTTATAATTTATCGTACCATTTATACCTTGATCAGGATCACTCGCATTTATTTTTATTATTGGTTTATCAATTGAAATATTTTCGGGAATTGATAAACGATAATAGGATGATGAACATTGAGGTATATTATCATTTACATCCAAAACGAATATCTGTATTTGAACTTCTGTTACCCATTTTGGTGGAGCAACATTAATTGCTTTCGCTTTTAATTCAATTTTTTGAATTTGTTCACGATCTAATGGTTGAATTAAATAAATTCGTCCATTATTCGAATCAATTTTAACTAAAGGATTTAATTCTAATTCATATGTATTTAATGCATTCACTCCTTGATCACGATCAATTGCATTTAAATATCCAATTGTTAATTCATAATCTTCAATAGGATTTTCAATCATATGATAATTTGCTAATTCTTCAACATAAAATATTATTGGATTCGTTAAAAACTCACTTGGATTATCATTAACATCAATTAAATGTATTTTTAAATCATAAATCGACGTTAATAAACTATCAGTTGCGATAAATCGTAGATTAATTTCTTCTTCAATTTCTCTATCAAATATTCCATGTTTAACAATAAGTATATAAGAATTTAATTGATTGGATAAAATTATTTCATAATCTTGTTTTGGTTGATTATTATTTAATATTATTAATGATATGGATAAATTTGTTTGAATAGAATCACGATCAAATAAACGTATATAACCTAATGTTAAATTATTAATTTCAGTATTTTCTTTAATAAATAATGTTTGATTATTATATTGAAAATTTCGATTTGGTACAAAAAGTATTTCAACAGGACAATCATTAATATCTTGAATGGAAATTGATAACCATGTATCAGTAAATAATGATTGGGGTACACCAGAATCAGATGCACGAATTAAAAAACGATATAAATGTGTTGTTTCATAATCTAATGATGAACGAAGACTGATAACGCCAGTTTTAGAATTAATTATAAATGGAAATGATGATGGATTTGGTGGATTTACTATTGAATAATGTACTAAACCATTTAAATCTTTATCAGGATCACTGGCGAATATTGTTAATAATTTCGTACCGATAGGTGTATTTTCTGGTAGAGACTAAATAGAAATAATAGTATTAGTTTGCAATTGTTGAATAATATTAAACTTACTTCAATTGAATATTCAGTTTGATTAAATTTCGGTGCATTATCATTTTCATCTAATATAGTAATTCTAACCATTGTTCGGTTCATTCTTGGTTGTGGAATTCCATGATCACGTGCTTCAATAATTAAATCATATGTTTCTGTTATTTCTCTATCAAGTGAATGTTTAACAATTCCATATATAGCATATTCATTCATTGATAATGTTATAATATCTAATTGAAAAATATTATCATTATTAAGAAGTTTAAATGATAATTTTCCATTTAATCCCGAATCATAATCAATTGCACGTGCTATTGGAAAACGATGTTCAATTTGAATGGATTCTGATAATGATATATTTGTTTGTAAATCAAAAAATTGACATGTATGATCATTAATATCATTGATTGTAATATTAATTGTTGAAAATTTTGGTATTTGATTATGTATAGAAAATAATTCAAGAATAAACGAACAATAATCACATGAACATATATTTTGTGAACACCAATAATCACGATCAATAATTTTAGTTAAGATTAAATTTTGATTATTATTTGTTAGATTAAAATTTGATTGAAAATTATTTATTAATTCATATGAATAAGGAAAATGAAATATGGGTTGATCAATCGAAGTTTTTTCATCGATTATTAAAGAATAATCAGATGTTTTAACAATTGATATAAGAGAAAAAAGATAAATAAGATAAATCATCTAGAATTAAGAAAAAAATAAGATAAGAAAATTATATTGAAAATATACCTCTTCAAAATTAAAGATAAAGTTGAATATAAAAACAAACAAAATTTATGATCAAATGAAATATACCTTTAAGGCATTTATTGATTTTCATGTCTTATTTCTTTCCCCCCGAGATGACTAAATTAAACCGCTCTTATTTTATGATAGTCCATTTAGTATGATCTGTTCTGTGTTAAAATAATATTTACACCTTATCATGGTCGGATATGATTCAAAAACTTATCATCTTTATTCTAATTGTTCATAAAAAGGATAATGATCGAAGGAAGTTATTTCTTAGTGACATCCGCTCTATTCATTCATGATCATATTACTATCAATACTATCATGACATGAACCTTAAGGTTGTAATTATCGAAATATAGACGAACAAGGAGGAGTAAATGAAACAATAAAAGAAAAAAGTTAAACTGTCAAACATAAAAATAGATAAAGATCACAATTTTTGATAAAATTATTTTCAATTGGATAATTGTTCTTATATATTATAAGGTTTTATCCATTATTAAGAGAACTATTCAAGTTGAAGAGACTAAAATAATTTATATCAACAATTTTCTGTGATTGTTAAAATAAAATAGAAAAAGAAAAAAACGAAGATGAGAGAGAGACAATACATTTCTGAAGACTTAAAACATTCAAGTTCACTTAGCTTATGTCAACTGAAAATATATTTACTAAAGATAAAGAAACATTAGTTTGATAAAAAGATTGGAAAAATATCTTTCTATAGATTCACTAATTATTCTCATAAATTTCTTTTATGACATTTTGCTCAAAGTGAGAATGAGATTGGAAATAGAAACAAAATTTCTATTACCGAATCGAAATTCATTCTCACAACAGCTGTTAATTGATATTATCTTTATTTATTCGAATGTATTTGCATATTTTCAATTGACATTGAACATGATATGTGTGCAATGAATATTAGTTTGAATATGTCGGTGTGAGTTACTTGAAATTCCAAACGTGCTACTATTATCTAGTACGGTTTAGATTGATGGTGCCGATCACAATTAAGTGTCAATTTATGGATCGATAGATAAGCAATATATATATATATTCCAATTTCAATTTGTATAAATTAAACAAAAAGGTCATTTCAAAATGGGAACTTACTTAGTTTCGAAAATAAGAAGAGATAATTTTATCTGACAAATGATATAGAACATTGTTTCATTAAAAGATGAACAGGCTTACTTTCGATGTTAGTTCAAATGTGCGATAATGAGTGTATTGTGAACAATTGTAAAGACGTTGATACTATTCAGTCGAAATGAGCAAAAGTAAATGAAGTAGAGCCGTTCACTCACTACTATTCTTAGTACCAGACGAACATATATATATATAAGTCTTCTTTAAAGTAATAGAACAGTTCAAGTATCTTTGTTTGTCTTTCTAACTACATACATACAAAAAGAAGTTTGTATTTAGACAAGGTGAACTCAAGTCGCCTTATAATGATTGATTATTACTATATCTTAGTAGTTCTCTCTTCTCTTCTCTTACCTTATTGTTGATGACGATGATGGCGCCGATATTCATTATCAATATCACTATCGGATGTGTATATAACATCGAGAGTATGCAGCAAATATGTATATAAAGGAGGAAGAATGTTGTTTTCTCTTCTCTCTTGTCTCTCTCTATGTCTCTGTCTCTCTCGTTCTTTCTTCCTAAATGGATGAAATGACCAATGGGTAATCGAAACCAGATGGTAAATGATGAACAAATAATGAAGAGTAAAGGAATGATGATTGCATCATGGGGTATGCGCGCACGAGAGTTGTTTTTGAGTCAATTAGAGGCTGCTGGTGTTCGAATTATTATTTCAAGGATCCAGCTGATTTTGTTCATTTTTTTTCTATTTAAACATCCTCTGTACCAGACTTGTTTTTTTTTCTATGTAAATCATCGTTTTCTTTATCGTTCTAATACGCAAGTAATTAAGACGTATACAATATGTTCCTACACCTACTTGTATGAACAAAAATCGAAACAAAAGAAAGGTATAGACACAAACCTTGAAGATCATTCATATATGTATAGTCGCCTTGGGTGTTAATAAAGTGTACAATATATGTGAAAGAAAGAGTTGAAAGGTGTGAAATGAAGCTGATACACACTAGCTGATTCAAAAATTCAGATTTTTTCATTTATAAGAAGATACTTCTCCAGTCATCAACTCAATTGGCTCATCCACTCAACAATTTGTCGAAGATTTGACATGTATTGAATAGATGAACCAATTTTGATTTAAACAAGTGAAAATAATGTAGCATATACGAGATTACAATTATACATGGTCTAATTTATATCAATTAGATGTATTAGATAGAAATGATAAACATTATTATTGAAAGATTGAATATTATTATAAGAAGAATAGGGAAAATAGAAATAGTAATCGAATATCCATACTAAAGAAAAACAGATCAAAGATGGTAAATAATTTTTGTTATCTTTTCTTCTACTCCATTTATAAAACAAAAAGAACAGATGCGTGTTCTTTATCTCAATCAAACTATAGATATCTAACATTGAACAATATTGTTTTTTTTTCGCTATTTCTCAAGAGAAAATAAAACCTTCGCATATATTTGTCTAGACTCGATCTGTAAGGGACAACCCCTTGCAGTGTTTTTCCAATCATATATAGATGGATACTTACATACATAACCTGCTGTGTTCAACAAAATTTTTGATAGCATTCTCTTTTCTCTCTCTCTCTCAAGGTTCTTCCTATCATTTTAATAATAAAACACTTATCGAATAATGAGAGAGAGAAAGATAAACCTGTCTTCTCACCTGTATTTAAAAGAAAAAGAATGATAAGATGCAAGGTTAATGGACAACATTATGACATTAGTAGTTCATTTTATGGAGTCTTTTAATGATCTTCATAGATGTGTTGAGCATCTAACACACAACTAAATGTTGATATCGAATAGGTTTTTTTTTCTTTCAGCATACTCTACTAAACAATCAATCGAATAAAGAGTTGTCATATATTAACACTCATCCATTGTAATAATGTCTCAATAGTTCATTCGATAAACTTAATATCTATATTATTCATCTTATATCGTACAAATTTTTGTTTCATTTTTTCTCATCGATTGAAAAAAACTAATTCTTAAATTTTATCTAAAGAGACAACTATATATATTGGAGCAATTATTTCAATTACACCTTTCGTCTAATTAAACATGAGAAATATTTTGTACAGTAGAAACGTGTTTTGATCCTGCTGTCCATCTGTTAAATATAACGTGTGTGATAGATGCATGCTTCCATCTATTCAATTAAAACTACTGCTGTGCCTTAAACGTTGTCATCACTGCTGGAAACGATAAAAAAGATACATTTCAATTATCAAAGAAATTAACATTTCGATACATAAGTACAATAAATATGTTCTAAAGATCACACTATTCAACCTTGACATTGACAGAACTAAAACAAATCATATCAAATTTCGCATAATTAAGATGCATGAAGAGTACTACTTGCTCAAGAATGAACTATATACGTCGTCTTGAAGAAATTCAAAGATATATGAAGTATAGAAGAAAAAAAAGTATAATTTATACATGACAATCATTTAAATTACAGAGATAAGAAGACAAAAGAAAATAGTAAATATGTCATTCAACAATTTTATATCATGAATCAAATCGTTTAGTTTACATAGCTACTTGAATATAGATGAGTAATGAACGAAATTTTCATATCGCACAACAATGTCGAACAATGTGATACTGTTCACATTATATATATATATATAATTTGTTTATCAATAGCAGTCGTTGTTGTTGAGAAATAGAAGATAAAAAGACATTGTATTGTTATATCACATGAAAGACAAATTATGAATTGTTTTGATGTGATAAAGAAACATATTCGTTGTTTTTCGCTAGTGTATCAATATGTTTTATTCTCTAAAATAAATATTTGTTGATACCTTTAATTCTATCTACTAGATTTTCTTTTTTAATCGGATATTATGTGTCATTTTTTTTTCATTATAATAAAATGGTACAAACTTTTTTAATGATTTATAGTAGTACGGGATCTATCATCTCATATATCCTTTTAAACAGAAGAGACAGTATACTCTTCAAAACTCAATGATATCATCATCATCAATATTAATTGTAGAATTAAAACATTTGTAGATATTTAGTATGTGATACTAACTGTATTTTAACATGCTTTGGTTAACTTTAGCTTTTCTTGTAATATACCATTGTATATCAGAGGTATGTTTTCTGAGGCTTCTTAAATCAATTATCTGAAAACGGTAGCAGTAAAATAGTTTTATTACAGAAAAACAAAGGAAGATAGTGCTTTTGTGCAGGACTTTCTGGGAGAATGCTTATAACTACTAAACGCTTGAGGCTTTGAATCTGAGCTGCGCAGTTTTTTAGATCTACAATTGGCGCTTTAGACGCACATCAGACGATTGAGGTCAGAAACGTTTGTAACATATAGTTCATTGCGTCTTCATCTCCTCTCACCAACAGTGAAGACCAAAGCTCTCTATCTTGTTTTCAACTGAATGTACCTCAAAAATACGATTGACAATTATTTAGTTGTTGATAATGTTCAACAAGTTAGAAACACTCGTATTGTATAAAACTAAACGTATGAGAACATTACGAGGATACATAAAATTTTATATCTATTATAAAAATAAAATTGATTTATACGCAATTTAATTTTGTTAAAACGAACGACGTAATAGAAAAAGAATATTATAACATCTTTTTTTTCGTTTATTTATCTTGCTCAACATCTTCATGTATTGATATCAATTTCAAAAATTTGATCGAGAATCGAATCGTGTCCATCTCAAATAATTTATTTTTATTTATATAGTAGCAATGATTCTATTATGTATAGAAATAAAAGTTATAATTTATGTAATAAAAATATATTCAATAATACAAATAACTTTAATTATAAGAAAAACAAATCTGTATTTTCAAATGATTACATTAATATTGTTCTTATATCTCTCCATGATTGTCTGTCTTTACTAACAGAATCATTCGATTCACAATCAACAACTTGTTTTAATAAATTTCCAACTTGATCCTTTAATGTCGATGTAACATATTTTTGTCGTTCTAATAATTCATCTCGAGTATAATGAATTCTCTTTGATTTCGTTTTATTAATCAATAATAAATTTTTTTGTTCGATAGGTAATAACGTTTCAAGTAATAGAGCTGAACCTTCAATATCTTCAGCCATCGATAGCAGTGTTTGATAACATGTTTCAATATTTTTCGTAGCATAGGATATATTTGATAAATGAGCAACACGTAAATTTGTAGCCATTTGATTAATATGTGTACATAAAGCAATAATTTGATCAATTTCTTTATTAAGAATAACAACCGAAGATGAATTTTGTCTATTTGCCATAATTATAATGAATAAGTAACCAAAACCAAAGTAGAAATATCTTATTGTTTTAATTTATTTAAATTTCTTCCATTGCAGACATAATAGATTTTTATAATCACACATAAAATATTTCATTGAAACATCCCACGTGTTGTAAAACGAAAAAAAACTATTTGTGTGCTTTACACTCACCTGGCAAAGTAAAAGTAATCATGAAGTAAAGAAAAACAACGTAAAAAAAAGAAAACGGTAACTAAATGACTACATATTATCTTTGATATTATCAATGAAAGATTTTTTTTAAAGATGCAAAATAAATTGCATCTAGAAATTTTGATTTTAATATAAAGTAGAGAAAAAAAAAAGAAAAAGTTCTTTTTTTTTTGATATTTTCTCATTGAATACAATAGAAATTAAAAAAGAAATTTTTTCGTTATTGAAGATGGTGATATTATCATTGTTGATGACGTTGTATTAGTTGATGATTGTCGTCGTGGTATTAATTTTATTGAAAATTTTTCTTTTAAAATAGTAAAAACACGTTTTGAACATAAAAATCCAAAACAAATAAATAATCCTGGTAATGAATTTATTATTTCAAATATAATCCATGACCATGTTTGTCCTATTGCAAGAGCAATAATCAATAAAATCCATTGAATACCCATTAATGATGCTAAACGAGCATAAATAAATACTAAATTTTTATCATTTATATTCGATGATGATGTTGTATTAGCTAATTTAGCAATATTATGTGAATGATAAATAGCTAAAAGTGTTTTTATAAATAAAATTCCAACGATTAAAAGTGTACAACCAATAGGTAGAAGAAAGAAAATAATCATTGCATATGGTTTCGAAATTGTACAAAAAATTGTTGCATATGCTGGTGAAAAATTTGATTGTGGAATAGTAAATTGTATTAAACATGCTATTAAGATTATTATTCCAGTTAAACACCAAACAAGTATATTATATGCAATTAAACGTTGATAAGTTTTATTGGATGTATTATCTCGAATTATTTGATGATTAAATGTTGAATGAATATGTATTGATATAATTAATAACCAAAAAAAAGAAGACAAATAGAAATAATGAATTAATATAGCTGATGTAAAACAAATTGAATAAGAATCAGTTAAACTTGCAGTTAATAAAAATATTAATTGACCAAGGAATAATGAGATAGAGAGACATAATAAACATTTGCCTGGTAAATTATGTAATGAAGGGACTAACCAGAAAATAACAACAAATATAAATAAACATACAAGAGATATTGAAGTACATATTACGGATAATATATTACGATAAAATGGAAATAAAGTTGAATAATCCCATGAAGGTTTCATATTTCTCCAATGATCAGAACAAAAAACAATTCGATTCTCACTAATAAAAACATATTCATCATTTTTTAATAAAGCTGAGTAATTCGTAAGATATATACTTCCATTATTATGAAAAATTTTATCATCTAATTGAATCGATGTTTGTATTAGATATGAACATTTCATTGATATAATAAATTCTTCACTTGAATTTGTAATTTTTCTACATTCTTGTTCAACTAAATCATAAAGTTCATTTGATTTCGTACAATTATAATTAATTGAATAAATAAATCGTGGTATTGTATCATTATTTAAATAACGTTTAAGAAGATTTGGATCAAATAATATCGAAAGAGGTCGAGTACGTAAATGATTCATTGCTGGTAATGCTGAACGTAAATTTGGATCAAAACATGTTATATCATCACTATTATTTGGATGATTACATTCCGCACAATATGGGTTATGATAAATAATAGTTGAATTTTTAATATAACGATAATTTGTAATTGATGTTGAACAATTTCGTGCTAAATCAATTGATGTTCCAATTGGACAAGTTGTTGGTAATGGTTTTTTACATGGTCGTATAAAAACTGATGGTCGAGAATTACCTCGTTCATGTGGATAAACAATTGTTTTTGTACAATTTTTTAACATATGATCAAAATATTGTACTTCTAAATCATTTTTTAAAGTTTTATAATCATTTTCACTTCCATCACCATAACAAAATGGTTTATATTCCCAAGATTGTATATTTTTATTTATATCATTATTACAATATGCACAATAATAATTTCTATATGTTATATTTGTTTGTAAACTTGTTACTGGAATAAATAATATTGGATTATCATTAAATAATTGATTATTTAAATTTCGACATTGAACATCAACTTGTGATCCAATATAGATTGATAAACATTCAGTACGCATCCAAATAAATAATCGATTAAATGGAACTATTTTATTTGTTATTGTAGGTAATAAAAAATCAACACATTCATAATTATTTTTTAATACTTTTGTTTTATAACAACAATCACCATATTGTTCACAAACTGAATCACAAAAACAATTTCGTGATTGTATTAAATCTTCATTATCATAAACTGATGGAGATTCAATAGATGAATTTGTACATGTATTTCGAATTGAACATTGTTCATTAGTATTATTAATTGTTAAGCAAGATTTAAATAGAAATAAAATAATGAAATAATAAAACATTTTTTTAGAACATTGAATATTTCAATTGATTGTGTTAAATGTCAGTTGTATTTATGTTTGGTTAGTTATATGTAGTAAATATCTCCTTTACTTATGAAAATGAAGAAGAGCATAGGCAAAAAAAAAGATTATATTGACTTAAACGCCAACACATACTCCTTCAAGGACCAAAATGTCATTATTGATCTTACCAATCAGAAGATAAATAATATGTTAGAGAAAAATGATCATCATATATATATGACATATGTTTACCTAATCGACAATATTGATTATTTTTATTAAGTATATATATATAAGACTATATTTGCATATAGAAACGAAGACTTGACAACGACATAAATCTATGCTAATGAAGATATGATGTATTTCTAAAGGAAGAAATCAATATCTGCCATTATTGAATATGATGATGTAGTAAGTTGAATATTGGTAGTATTTATTTCACATTCAATAATGTTCTTTCGTTTTGAGCGAAATGAAAATTATCAAAATTAATAATTTAAAAATATTATATGTAAATATGTATAGGCTTGAAATGTATTTTTTCATCATAAAATTTATAACAGTTGTCTCGATTTCTTTACAAGAAAAGGTCATCAACTTTATTATACATTCGAACATAACTGCTGGAAATACTTGTATTGAGAAGATACTTAGTTCTGATATGCTCTATATCCTTTAGAAATCAAAATCTATTTAATTATTGAAAGAAATATTTCGACATATGTTATAATCTATTTGATAATGGTAAATATAAAAAGAAAAATACTCTCATCAATGTAAACAAATTTTTATATCTGCCAGTAATTCATAGTCTCGATAAGTACTCGATTAGAAATGATATATTATTATTATTATGAAGTAACGGAAGGCATGAAAATGCTAACAAACATATGTACTACTAGATAGTCATGTTTTTTTCCCTTGTTCGATCCTTGAATCAATAAGGCAAACGTTTTGTACTTTACATCAGCTTATCGAATATGTTTCTATGATAATCAATATGAATAATTATAAAGATCACCAATAAAACAGAATATCAATATATATATATAAGAAATTGTTCTAAAATTAACTAAGATGATGTTTTATCTAGATTCAATCAAATCAACCTATAAGATCCGAATGAGAAAAAAAAATAAAAATACTGAAGTACAGCAAATAAGCCGCAATACAGAACGGAAAACAAAAGATACATATACATTGATCAGCGAAAATCAAATAATAATAATAATAGAAAACGAAACAATAACGATTTAAGATTAAGAATGACAGAAAAAATCAAAAAAATAAATGTTCATTGTTCACGATCACTATCATCAATTTGTAAATTAGCCCATCCATTTTCTTCTCCTTGAACACCAAGAACAATACTTTGTAAAGCAAGTATTAAATATTCATGTAAATAACAAAAATCAAATTTTTCTTTATTTAATATATGATTTTGTGAACAAAATGATGCTAAACGAATTAAATGATGATACATTGTTGATATATATTCATCATATGACCATTGATTAGACACATCCATATCATATGACCAATGTGAAAGAAGTTTTTTTATTGAATTATAATAATTTTCCGATGATTGCCCTTGTCTTATACATAAATTTGAACAATCAAATGGGCCTTGTTCATTGATTTCATAAATAAATTTTGTTAATATATGTTGCCAACAACGTTGTTCATTAATTAATGGTTTTTTATTTGTTGATATATTATTATTTGTATCAAAAATATTCTGTCGAGATAACCTAAAAGATTTTTATTAATTTTAGAAATAAAAATTTTTGACTAACTAACCAATTATGAATTATTTCAATAAAACATATTTCAATAAGATGTATATGAATATTATCAGATTCAATATTTGTTACCGGATCATCTAATCGTAAACGAATTTGTTTATTTACAATGAATGAAGCATCTTTGTTATCAATAAATTCAACATGAAATCGTAATTCTCGTTGTTCAACTAATCGATTAAGTGTATTTTTCATAACATGAGCGATAGTTGCATGTTCACGTAATTGTGAAATTGGTCTATCAATTGCTAAATAAATAATAATAATTTATTATCTTATTTGAGAAATGAAATTTACCTTTAGCAATAATAGTTAAATTTTGTTGTCGAAGTTGAACAAGTAAACGTGAAAATAACCAAGGAAATGAAAGAATACGTTTTGGATGTTGTGCTTGTTCATATTGATAACAGACAACATAACATGCACTAGCTTTAGCTAATTTTTCATCTAAATAACAGATTTCTCCATCTCTTTTTATATTTATTCGTCCACGTTCAGTTTCTTCTCGAACATTAAATTCCGCATAAAATAATGTTTTTATTCTATCCATTAATGCTTTTAATTCCACTTGTGCTGAATCAGCAACATCAATATGTTTCGACATACATTGTTGTTGTTGTGAATCAAACCGACAAATTAAATCAATATCCGATACAAAATGATATGCAAACATTATATTTAATAATGCATCACGATAAGTTCGATATAAATCTAATGCTGATGATGTATATATTTGATAATTTGGATGAATTAAATATACATCAATAGGTACACGTTCAATTGTTGATAATATATCATAGGATGGATCTTTTTCTTCTGGATGATAAGCTGAATGATTAATTAATGACCATGTTGATTGTGAACGATTTATTGAACGAAATAATTTACCAAGTACATGTTCACTTGGATAAAGCTCAAATTGATCTTTGTCAATATAATCTGGTCTTTTATAATCTAATTTTGTATTTAATTCTTTGATTTTTTGTTCATTAAATGGATGTTTACCAGTTTTACCTGCATCTAATTCTTCTGATATAGCTGCTGCTATAGCAACACATTCATCATGTTGTACACCTAATTTATCCACATAAGCTAAATGTGTACAACATAATTTACCTAAACAATCTTGTTCAGATATAGTTAAAACAACATCGACAATATCATCACGTGTTACTGAACGTGATAATGGTACGGGTGGTTGTTGAGAATCATAATCATATGGTTGAAAATTTTCAGTATTTGGTACAAGTAAATCAAGCCAAAAAAACAGCATATTCATCACCATCAAGATCTGAACCACTTATTTCATTTGAATGTGGTCTTTGACCTTTTTGTGGAAATACAATACAATCACGTAAATGTCGTAATTCAGGTTTATCAACAGCATTAAATGTTCTCATATCACCTGGATGATGACATGGATGTTTAGTAACAACAACCCGAATATTATTTAATATTGTTGTTTCGGTCCATTCAAATTCATTTGATATCTGATCATCAAAATCACTATTTGGTGAATTTACTGGCGATTGAGTTTGACGATAAAGAGTTTTTGAACGTAAATTACTAAACTGAACAAAGACTTCTCCATATTCCTGTGCAAAACAAAACGGAAATAATTGTACACTTGAAAAAAAATTATTCTTACTAAAACACCATATTCATCAACAACACCGATAAGATTTCTTGCTGATTGTTTTGGTATACGTGTACGTGATTTTTCTTTCATTTTAATTAAATCATGATGAATAAATGTAACAATTAATTGACGAAAAAAAGGTTCTTCAGCTAAATTTAATTGTCCATCAAGAAATAATTCACGTAATGGAAAAAAATTTCGTGTTAATTTATCATACAGAAAATCGTATGTTACTGATGGATATAATAAAGATTCAATTAACCATAAATGATGTTCTTGTTGTAATAATAAAAATATAACATCATGAACATGACGATGAGAAAGTAAAACAATTGTTTGACGATTTAAATAAAGTGGACCTAAGAAATAAAGAATAAAAAAATTAATTATCATTTTTTGTTTTCAAAAAAATATTTTTACGTGGAGAAGATATACGACATGATTCAAGAATATCATGATCAGAACTAAATTTACGCATTGAATGACGTAAAACAAGTTGTTGAGAACATCCATTTAATTCAGGACTTAAAGTAAGAACACCTTTACAACCACCATATCGAATTTGCATCACAGTAAATGGATAATGAAGATTAAGTTTGGTTTTGATCTAATTAATACAAATTCTTTATTAAATGAAATTGTAATCAAAAATTAAGAATTCTTGTTTTCCTCATTTCTTTTCTTATAGTGTTTTATTTGTGTCCTCTCTAACATACTGTACCTCATCACGTAATACAGTCGACATTGTTCCACATCCATCTGTAAAATTATATTTTCCATCTGCTGTTTCAACATCATTTATATATTTTACACATTCTGATGGAATCTAAATAAAAATATTCAACATATATATATAAATTTGATTTTTAAATACTAAACTCTAATTGTTTCTTCTGTACTTGTAAAACATTGTGCAATACGTGCTGTATGTTTAGCAATAACACGTTCACTATCAAAATTTCCCATCCATAAATAACCATCATCAAATGAAAGATTTTTATATTCATTTGAATTTTCTACTAACGGATGATGATGATAAAACCAAAATTGTTTTTCTTTTAATTGTGATTGTGAATGATGTAAATATTTATAAATACGATTTGGTACAATTGTAAAACCATCAACTAATAATTGTTTTAATTTCCAACGTATTTGTCGAAAATCCAATGGATATAAAACACCACCATCTTCTTCACGAATTTCAACTAGAAAAATATAATTTAGTTTAAATATGAAATGAAAAGAAGTCTTACCTAATGCAAAATTAAATGGTCCGCCGAACTTTTTTTCTCGTAAAACTCGATTTGTTTTGCATAATTTTAAAGGCTTAATAATAATTGTTGTTGGTGTTAATGTAACACTTGGTACATATTGATAATTTTTAGGTGGTTGTTTTATTGTTGGTTTTAATAAAATTGTTTGTCGTTCTTCAGCACGTATACGTGCTTGACGTGATAAATAATCAATTAATTCTTCATATAAATCAATAAATAAATATTCTTTTGTCCGTCTCCATAAGTGTATACATGCATGATAAAAATCTTCATCATCTTCAATAGTATTTAATTTAGCTGTAAATAATGATGTTACACGTTGATGAAAACGATAACCGAGAGAAACAAGTATTGACCAAGCATAATTTTTAATAAATGAAGAAAATGAAGGTTTTAATGGACGAAGATTTAATCCGGGTGATGTTTGAATTGATCCATAAGTTATCGCGATATAATTTCTTGAGAAGAATGATAAAAAATGTGAAAATACAAGTTTGATTTCATTTAAATGTTTTGTTAAATTAGCTGGAAGAGCATTATTATCTAATTTAATTAAAAGACGAAAAGTTGAACATAATGGTCGGGATTCTTTTGGTACAATACGAATAAAATTATCTAAACCAGGTTTTGTTCGATCTGGATCTATAAAACAAAAAACATTTTCTTACATGAATAATAAAAATTTAATATTAAATTTACTTAAATAATCAATACAATTCGCTTTCATATTAAGATAAATTAAAAATCCATCATTTAATGTATTAACAATTGCACAATTATCAATAAATTCTGATTTAATTCGTTTACGATATTCTTCAAGTGAATTATTATCATTTGAAGATTTTTGATAATCAATATCAAAATGATTTTGATAAAATGTCATTTTCCATGTTCGAATATTTCCATTAAATTTTTTTATTGTTTCAAAACAATGAAATGATCCTAATGAAACTAATGAACCAAAACTCATTTCAACATAAATACCATCATTTATTGTACAAAGTTTTTTATCAAATTCTTCGTCATTATCTTTTATTTCAAATGGATTAAGTAATGAATCAAGAAATTCAAGTTTAGTTGTTAACATTGATTCATTATCAAGAGAATTTTCGTCGATTTTTAATGGTATACGTGGAAATGTAAACCAAAAAAGATCATTTTTAGTTAATTGATATTGTTTTAATTTATTAATACATGATGGAAGTGTTAGTGATTTGGAATCATTTATTGTAAATGTATAAGCATCAAGACCACCATGACACCAAAGATCATGTTCGACTTGAACTTTTTTATTATCATTATTCATAACTAAATCAATATTTAATTGTTCGAACATATGACAAAGATTATTTAAACTTGTTGATGTTCCATCGACAATTAAAATTATACGAGATAGACAAGAATTTGATGATGATGAATTTGGTAGAATTTTAAATGAAAAATCAATGAATGGAGATGGTTTAACAGATTTATACAATGGTGAACTTAGTTGAGAACGATGTGTAAGTGGTGATCTTTGATTTAAAATTGGCTAAATAAAAAAAACAATAACTTGAAGTTTTCAATAACTAATAAGAGTAATATATACAGATGTTGGAGTTGATGGTGAAGCACATTTTAAGAGTGTTTGAAACCAGTTTTGATCTTGATTACATCTTGTCTAAAAATTATACAAAAAAATTATTTACTAAATAGAATATTCCTTCATACTTTATTTGTTGAATTTTGGATATTATTATTTTCCTGTTTTTGTTGTGAATATTTACGTGTACGAACAACTTGTCTTTGACATTTATTAGTATGATTACGAGATGATACACGTTTAAATTGTACTTGTTCATGATGATGATGAATATTATTATTATTTAATAAATAGTTCGAAACATTTTTTGTTTGAGAATAATAATGTCTATTATGTGTAGTTATATTCTCATAAAAATCATTATCTCGATAATGAATATATTTGAGCTCTCGCATCATATTAAAAATGATGTCGATGTTCGAATCTTACTTGAAACAGTAAACTATCTAACTGATTTTAGTTAGAAAAGAATTTATCATATATCGAAATGGAGAAAAAAAAATATCGATATCCTTGTCTCTCTCTCTCTCTCACTCGATCGATTCCTAACAAAGTTAACATATGTATATCATATATCTGTATAAAAGAAACGAGAATAATCGAGGGTTTTCTTCTAGAATATAGCCACTAGGAAAAAAACCCAATTCAAATTGTCGTGTCATCATAGATCTAGTTAAATATATGAATCATTCGATAATAATGAGAATAAATTTATTGAAATAAATGTTTTCAAATACATATTTATTTATCGATTAAATATAAATCTACACATTTAAATAAAAAAAAAGACTATTTATTCATGCCCGTTTAAATATCAAACAAACACCAAACAATATCTATTGCACTAACATGAGAAAAATAAATGCGAATATATATATAAATATGCATCGTTGATTAAATTTCATAATTGCGAAATTTTCGAAGATCATTATTCATTGGTTTAGCTGATTCCCATTTTAAATTCGTCTGTTGAATATCTAAAAATATTTATATAGAAAAAGTTCTCAACAGGAAAATAAGACGTATTTACTTTCATTGAGATTTTTTTCTTCGATGTCCTTTTTATTCATTTGATCACTTTCAATCATTGGTTCTTTTTTTGTTACTATCCAATGGAATGTCTAGAATGAGAAGAAGAAAAATTATTCATATGATTTCACACTATGTTAACTCATCAATTCAGTGTTAGATTTTTCTTTTTCTTATATGAGAAAAAATAATTAATTTATTCACACAATAAGTAATAGTTTGGAATATTTCTTTAATGATCAATGATCTGCATCATCATGTTTTGTTTTAATTTTACTTTGAAGTTTCTTTACTATCGAAAATATAAGATGCGTGAACATTATTTTCAGATTGCTTAGCAAAGGAGATTTGAAATATATATGTGATTCTCTTAAAAGTCAAATGATGCGAATGTCAGTAATTATAAAAATAATTTTATGAAAATATAGATCATTCAATGTTTGTCACACCATACGAAAAGTAACCGAACATTTGTCATTTTTGACATATTCAAGTGAGAATAGTTATAACAGCAATAGGTTTTTCTCGTTTTAATGAATGAATAGTAATTTAAATGATAATATCTATTTCATTTTAAGTATGAAATATATCTTGTCAGATAAATATATATACGAGTATAATAAAACATGCTTTTTTTTAATGAAATTTATCAGTTGAATATTTTTGTTGTATTTATCTAGTTTCAGCTAGAGGCAGTTAATTTAAGGAGATGGCGTGTGTTTTTTTTTGCTCAAGACAAAAGATTTTAATGATTAAATATGAAGAAATTTGTCAGCTTTGCTGTAGAAAAAAATGGGCATTTTCTATGGCTGACTGAGAGGGCGTCACATCGTTCACATCCTTCCGGTCGGTCATCTTCAACAATGTTTCATGCAGGGTGAGAGCCAGAGGGAGGATCACATCTTTCTATATACGTCAATTTGCTTCCTTCACAGGAATTTCTAGTCGTTAGATCTCGCACTCTATATCTGCACACTCGAAAACATACGTTAGCCTTTTTTTCGTTTGAAAAAATACTCGTTTTCGATATCTATCCAATGAAAACTTTAGATATTCTTGTATTGTGTTATTACTAATCAATAATCGATTTGTCATCGATTGAAGTTTTTATTTTTTTATCCGTCCAAGAAGAATTTAATCACTTTGATATAATGACATAATGATGAGTGTGTCAGGCTGTTTATATGCACGAAATCTCTGATCATAAAAGGTCATCGTTTCGCGTGTCTATTACTTGACAATTGGGTGTTCATATATGAAGAAAAAGAAAAACAGACGCTATAGCCTAAGGATTTATTTTCATCAGTAAATCAAACCAATTTACTCATTAGAATAAGTATTTATCTTGTCTTCTATTGCATTCAATTCATCGATCTTTTGAGACACATAAATTTTTCTATATATCATCAAAATCTATCAATATTGAACAATTAACAAATAAGATGTAACATCTGTTATATCTTTATATTAATCATTAGTATAATAAGTCACATATTTTTTTTGTCAGACAACAATCAAAAAAAAAAAGAAAATCCAAAGTCATTCGTTTTTCTTTTCTCGTTCTTTTCTTTTTTTTCTCTCTCTTCTCAAGATCAGATATGCACATAGACAAGGCCTTTTCTCTTTCTTTCCTTCTCGCTGTTTTTTTTTTCTCTGTTCATGTTCGCCTCGTCCCATTACTCAGATGTGTATGCGAGACATGAGCTACAAGCGGGCATACATATATATAGATTCGTCCAAACGAGAGTAAATAGAAAATAGAAAGGGCATCGTCGACCGATAAAATTTAACATTTTTCTATTGGATAAAAAGGTATAACTAAGAAATATTCATTGGTTATCGATTAATTCTTGTCAAAGAGAAAGAGAAAGGGCAGAAAGAAAGAAAAATAGAAGTGAACGAGCACGAACACAATCACACATTGCATTCATTCATTCATTCATTTTTTCTACTTCACCGACACACGCACATTCATATTCTTCCCACAAGACTAAAAACACGCTATGAAACAACAACGACGATTCAAATTCCATCAAAGTAAAAAGAAAAAATACATATAATCCGTTATTCTATACCATTTTATATTTTGTTTTAGAAAATAAAATTGATAATGATGAAAGTATTTATATTGATTTAGATCTCAAATGCAGGTAAATCACATCAATATTTCACATCATCCTATATTCATACAATACTAAAATTATTTTCTAGTTGCCCACAATCGAAATTAAATACAAATGCATCTATTCAAGTATGTCTATCCATTCTCTCCTCTCACACACCGTCATTTCATTATCATCCTCTTTTCCTTTCTTTTTTTAGTTTTCTCGCCGTTATCTTCAATGTCAAAGTTCAATGCCTATTGCCATTCTTCGATCATATATACAACAAATTTTACCACATTCTTCCATCACACAAGTAAACATTACAAACATTCCATTCTTTTATTCCCTTCTTCTGCTTCAGGTATCATTCTATGACTCAAATGATCGATTATTACAAGATTCACATCTTCTATCTTCATTAAAATCATCTACAACATCATCATCTTTACATATTCCTATTCGCTTTACATTATTTAATACTATCACATCACTCGCTCATTGTTCATGTTCATCACCATCATCTACACCGTTTATTCAACAACAACAACAATCATGTTCTCCAACAATCATTCAACGTCAAACAATCGATCAAACACTTTCCACTTGTTCATTAATTCAAACAACATCATCTTCAACTTATTCTCCTTGTTTATCATCATCTTCTCCAGATGAATCATTACCAACATCCTCCAATTCTATATCAATAGTTAATCTTCTAACTCCACCACCTACATCATCACCATCATCTCATTCGTCTCATTCATCATTTATGGTTGAAACTCTCGTTGATTCAAATCATTTAATGAATGATGAAAGAATCATCAATGAAATCACATCACAATTTGGTGAAATATGTCCACCGTTGCCTAAGAAAAGTCGAAATCGTTTATCGAAAAAAGTGATTTCAACATATCCATCGAATGCTCCTCTTGATCTAAGTATTAAAAAACGTCCGTCATCGTCATCATCATTTACTTTATTTTCATCGCAACCGAAATGGATTAAAACTTAATGTCATTCTATATATTTTTTGTCTGTTTAACAGTATATGTGATATATTCTCTTTCTTCGTGTTGTTTGTGTACAGAAAAGAAGAAAAGAAAATGATTGTACAAACTTATATGTTTCTAAGGGCGGACAGATGAAAATGAATGAAAAATGAGATAGTAAAGAAAAAGATGATTGTTGTTATTTTTTCGAATAGTGACCAACGGTGATTACGTATGCACTTTATATCCTTTTGATGTTATATTTTACTTAAAGATGAAGTATTAAACAAAAAAGAAGAAGAAAACAAGCAGCTGTATTTTTTCCCTTACCGGTTGACTTCGTTCGCTCATTGAATGCCATGTTTTCCATGGTACAGTTATATGACTATTACGCCAACAATCATATTGTTTACGTTGATTATCATCACATAAAACTTCTTTTGCTTCCTGTAGTTTTTTGAATCGTTCCACTACAAAAAAGATTTAATTAAATTATAAGATAGAAAAATTCTATATATAGATAGATATAACTTACTTGCTTTGGGATCATCTAAATTTTTGTCTGGATGCAATTGAAGTGCTCGAACACGATATTCAGCTTGAATTTGATCCTTCTAAAAGATAATCATCGAGTAAAAAAAAAAAGAAGACGACAAATGTAATAGGATACTTACATTTGAAAGTTCATCACAGCCAAGGATTGCATAGTAATCATCAGATTCATTTCGTTCAGCGGTAAATAATGTATCCATATTTACACAATTTATAGTTTTATCTGAAGAAGAAGAAGAAGAAAAAGAAAAAAGTAGTTTTTTAACAATATAGTTTGTTAAGTAAGTGTACAGACTATTAGGTCAATAATGAAAAAATATTTATTTGTATAGTCGAGTTATAAGTGTTTACATATTTGTAGAGTCGAATACGAACGGAGAAAGGAATATCTTGTTTGATAATTGTTAGCTTAGAATCATTTCTTAATAACTTTGTCAAATATACTATTGATGAAAAATCAACGGATACAAATTTCTTTGTATCTAACTAGGAAATTCTTTCGAACGCTATTTCAATTTAATTAATCTTATCATCTCATTGTTTACTTAACAAAGAAAAAAAACATATCTTTAGAACTACAGTTATTATTTGAAATCTATATAGATTCTAGAAGGATTAGTCTTGATTGAATATGAAATTTCTGTATAATCTTTCATTCTCAATTAAATCGTTAATTCAATATTATGAATTAAAATCCACAGGTCTCTTTTCTCCATGTGGTGAGGAATATCACGTCATCAAATACGAAGAAAAATAAACAAACCTATCTGTTTATTTTATAATAATGAACGCTTTTTCAAAAGAATACTTCTTACATACTATTCACATGTTTCTTCAATAAATATATTTCAAGTAGTAATATAATCCAAAGGCGACAGTCATGATAAGCTCACAACACACTCTAGACATGTTTGGAATTACTGTAAGTATATATGCGTTGCTTCTTTTTTGGAAACAACTTCAAATGGATTATATTTACTCTCTCGTTATGTTATTCATTTTAAGAATGATATAACAATATTGGGAAAAAATCTAATGTATTTCTATAAATGATATATTTACGAAAAAAGAAAACAAGAAAAAAAAATATATGTAATATTTCATCCTATCTTTTATTATGATAATTTTTTTTTTGAAATTGAAGCAATAGCACAATAGGAACAGTAATATGTGAATTAATTGAAATAAAAGCATACATTATTAATTAATTTGTTTTTTTAAGAAGAAGACAAAGACAACATCAAGAAAGAAGAAAAAAGAAATCGTGACGATGGGATTAATGAGGAAGAGAAAAATGATTTTTTCTTTCTTCATCACACTAAAAAAAAAATTGACTAGAAAATATCGTTTAATTTATTTTTATACATAAATATATTAGTAAGAGAATAGAAGACAAATGAACTCACTGTTAGAAAAATCCTTAACACAACAAAAAATTTGAGATTCAAAGACGTACATATATATATATATAATTTTAATATACAATAGATTTAAAAAAAAAGAGAGGATATTTTAAGTTTGAGATTGATCCGATCGATGAAATATTAAAAAGCGATGTAAAACGTTTCGATTATTATCATGACGTCGATTATGATTAACTGATGATTGAGGTGAAGTTGAATTTGTTGAATTATTATTACTAGTCATGGCCGTCATTGATGTATTAGAATTTAATGGAGGTAAATCATTTGCATCAAGTACTGTTATTATACAATTACCACTGTTATTATTATTATTATTGGAACTTTTTATTCCTAATAAATACAAAAATAATTATCATATAGGATTAATTAAACTTAGATTTATTTACCTGATGATGAATTACCATTATGACGATCACTAATTGAATGAATAACTATACGTTGATTAAATTGTCGCCAACGAATACAAAGCTAAAAGAATGAAAAAAAATAAAATCTAATTGTTTTTGTGTTATGTTGTTTTTTACCTGGAGATACATTTTACATTGAACATAAAGAAATACCTAAAAACAAATATTTAACACGTATTATATTCTTATATTTTTCATACCAATCCTCCAGTAAATCCGACGGCTACAACAATTAATTTTGTCCAAAATGGCCACTCTATAAAATAAATTTTTATTATATATATATACCCAATATTCTAATTAAACTTACGAAGTTTTCCCGCTTTAACTTCATCTCTTGTTTTTTCAATTAAAACATAGAATGACCAAAGAACACAAGTCACAGCAATTAAATTAAACGCAACGGAACACATAATCTTTCGTCTTTCAACAACATTCATATCTAATTTTTGCCACTAAATATAAAAAAATCAAATTAAAAAAAAACCCTTTTTTTTAAATTCTATTTTACTTGATTAAATGGTTTAATTTCTGAATGCATTATAAATTCAAATTTGCATAGTTCACATGATTTAACACCGGCACTTTTAATCCAACGTTGTAAACATGCTTGATGTAAATATTGCATTGTACCCAAACATAAACATGGTGATATTAATGGTTCATCATTTGAACTTTCACAATGACATATTCGACATATATCAGGATAATCACTTGATTTTGAACTTGTTGATGATAATGAAATTTTACGTGTTGAATTTTCATTATTGGGTAATAATGGTGTTGTTATTGTAGTTTCTTCAGTTAATTTTGGGACTGTAGCTTCTTCTTCGTCAGTATTCATTGTTGATTTATTTATTAAAATATCATTTTTAATTAATTCGATTTGACTATTACTACGAGTTACATCAGAAGCCATTACTGTTCGCTATTTAATAAGATTTAAAAACAAAAGTTTTTTGTTTATTATTATGTTATTTATTTACTTGAAAATATCACTAAATAGCTCTAATGAATCAGTTAAAATAACAAATAAATGACGAGTCAATGTGACTCGACTACACACAATATTATGTATAATTATAAATAGAAGATAAGGATATATTATATGTATATTAAAAGAAAATCCTCTCACGTAAGATTGGTTTTTATGACGCCATTCTTGTAAACAATTCGCCCTCTCATCTATGATTTTGACAGACATATGAATTATCAAATGGGATACGAACGACATCTACAAAGATATAAATACGCATACCCTATTTAGTAAGTACTTTTTTTTTTCTTTTATCTTTAAAACTATAGTATATACTATTATCAAATTTGAATAGAATGATTACTCGTCTATAATCTTCGATTTTTTCATTAATTATCAATTTTTTTTAATATTCATTACAATCGATTTATTAATATTTCCGATAGCGTGACTAATAACCACGGCTTACCTTTCAATCTTCATCATCATCATCGAACTAGAATCGATCTAAAAGAAAGATACACATGTGTCGTTCACCTTTTATGAACAGGTGAATAAATGCTTCCGGCTAAAATACTCTACTAGTACCATAAATTTGTGCATTCAATACTACTAACCATCGTCCATATTGAATTAATGGATGAAATCCGGTAATGAAAAATAAATAAATAAAAACCATAGTTTAGGTAGTACTACTAATGGATGCTTATTGTTTAGAATCTTCTTTAATAATAATCTGATATCCATGGGGTGGTCCTTCAACAAAAAAAAATTTGTTTGACTAATAGCACTACTGCGAGTTCACTACTGTTAGAATGATATTCGATATAGAATTCTTTCCTTTTTTTTTCTTTTCTTCGCATCACCCATCACTCAACTTTTCTATCTTGACAAATGATCACTTCGTGAAAGCAACCAACACAGCATGAATCTGCAATCTTTTTTTTCGAATACACAATTCAGACGTTATATTTTTTTATATAACCATATCTAATTTGTTCATAAATGACTAAAATAACGCAATCAATCGTTCATTTTCATTGCACTTTCATGCTGTGTAACTGAAAATGTATTCACGTTTCTATACATAAATACAGAGAAACAACAACGTTGAACAAGTTTCATATATATATTACTTTAACACGAAAAAAAAGTAACAGAAGAGTTAAGTTTTAATCCATTTCGGTTGCGATGAAAATAAAGTAAATGATGATGACGATGACGGACGTTTTTTAATACTAAGATCAAGAGGAGCATTCGATGGATATGTTGAAATGACTTTTTTCGATAAACGATTTCGACTTTTCTTAGGCAATGGTGGACATATTTCACCAAATTGTGATGTGATTTCATTGATGATTCTTTCATCATTCATTAAATTATTGGAATCAACGAGAGTTTCAATCATAAATGATGAATGAGACGAATGAGATGATGGTGGTGATGATGACGATGTAGGTGGTGGAGTTAGAAGATTCACTATTGATATAGAATTGGAGGATGTTGGTAATGATTCATCTGGAGAAGATGATGATAAACAAGGAGAATAAGTTGAAGATGATATTGTTTGAATCAATGAGCAAGTGGAAAGTGTTTGATCGATTGTTTGACGTTGAATGATAGTTGGAGAACATGATTGTTGTTGTTGTTGAATAAATGGTGTAGATGATGGTGATGAACATGAACAATGAGCGAGTGATGTGATAGTATTAAATAATGTAAAGCGAATAGGAATATGTAAAGATGATGATGATGTTGTAGATGATTTTAATGAAGATAGAAGATGTGAATCTTGTAATAATCGATCATTTGAGTCATAGAATGATACCTGAAGCAGAAGAAGGGAATAAAAGAATGGAATGTTTGTAATGTTTACTTGTGTGATGGAAGAATGTGGTAAAATTTGTTGTATATATGATCGAAGAATGGCAATAGGCATTGAACTTTGACATTGAAGATAACGGCGAGAAAACTAAAAAAAGAAAGGAAAAGAGGATGATAATGAAATGACGGTGTGAGAGGGGAGAGAATGGATAGACATACTTGAATAGATGCATTTGTATTTAGTTTTGATTGTGGACAACTAGAAAATAATTTTAGTATTGTATGAATATAAAATGATGTGAAATATTGATGTGATTTACCTGCATTTGAGATCTAAATCAATATAAATACTTTCATCTTTTTCTCTTTTTGTTTCTATTGTTGTCATGGACTCGTCTATTTTTGATTCTATAACAAAAAAATGTAGGTAATAATAGATGATCAATTTTATATTTATTAGTTACTGTGTTTAGTTTTGATAGATTTGGGTTTTGACTTCGGTGGATGCACTGACTGTTTTGGTTTGATCATACAAGATGGTGACATGTTCGTGCATATAACTTTTGAATAAATGCGTATGTCTGTCGGCGAAGAAAAAAAAACTGAATGTAATATGCGTTCGTGCTCGTTCACTTCTGTTTTTCTTTCCTTCTGCCCTTTTCCTTTCCTCACATGAGATTGAATGAACAACCAATGAATATTAGTTTCTCTTGTATTTTATCCAATAGAAAGAAGCAATTATTTGGTCAATGTTCGTCTATGTGCCTCTGTTTACTCTCGGTTGGACTAATATATATGTGTGTGTGCCCGCTTTCGACCCGTCTCGCACATGCATTTTCACGTAGTGCGATAGGGCGTACACGCGAGCAGTTGAAGAAAGAGAAAGAGAAAGAGGAAAAAGAAAAAAAAAGAAACCTTGTTTGCATATATGATCATAGTGAAAGAGAACGGAAAAAAGCGGGGCGCAGCAAGAACGAATGATCTCTGTATTTTTGTCTTATTTTAGCCTGTGGCCATGCAAAAAGAAACAGACAGATGAACAAATTAAGCACGTAGCAGCTGTTACTTCTCATTCGTTGTTTCATAGTATTTCTTATACATTAACTTTCTCTAAGAAACAAAGAAAAGAAAAAATATTCATTCGTTGAAAAGTATAATTATACAGGAGAAAAGGAAAGTCTCTCATGATGATGATGATGATGATGATGATGATATACATATGTGCGTGAGACTGAATGAAGAGAAATATGAGATGAACAGAAGAGAAAAAGAAAAAAAAGAAGAAGAAAATTCTTTGTAGTGATAATTGATTTGAAAATGAAGATGAAGTTAATTAGATGAATCTGTAAGAGAGAAAGGCGGGTAAAATTAGTTCAATCTATTATTAAATTCTATTGAATGAACTTCTTCTTGGTGAATATGAGATGATCTTTGATGATAGATTCTCTAAATTATAGTAATAACAAGAATCATCTTTTACTCATTATTTTATCATTAATTTTGAAGAAAATGTTGATAGGTCGAAGACAAATTTTTATCTATGAAACACAACTGTTATTGAAATAGATATTTTTTTTCTTATAATGGAAAACTTGTTGAACTGAATGAGAAATGACCTATATGAAAATGTTGTTTTCTAAGTATATTCTCAAATGACCACTTTTACGTTCGTCTAATCTTCTTCTGTCTCTTTCTCTCATATACGCCATTTGACTGTCAAGAGCCATCAAAATACGAATAGTACAAGTGCAACGAAGAGAGAGAGAGACAGAGAATAGCAATCATCTTATTTCGTAGGGTGTGAATTTATATCAGCACCTCCTCCTCCTATTTCTCCTCGTTCGTCATTTTCACTGTTAATCATGTCAATTTTCAATATAACCAATACGAACGAATTGATATGAAAAGGAAATTGTCACTTAAATGAGAGAATACGATGATACACACACACACACACATACACAATAGTTTGATCAAAGAAGCGGTCGGTCAATTAATTGAGCTTAAATAACAAAAAAACTTTCCAATCATGAATAAGTTTCTTTTTCCTGATAGATAATCTTTTGACCAGCTGACGAGCTCTTTCTCTCTTATTTTCATGCTGACAGAAGATATTCACATCAATTAGAGATTATTTCGTTCGTGATACATTTAGTCTTCGAGCACGTTTCAAGGATTAACACAAGACTCTAATTGGATTCTTTTCCTGTCGCTTATGCCTCAAGGGATTGTTCAATCAATTGATATTACTCTCTCTCTCTCTTGTCATCGTTCTTTTCTTGCTATTCGATTGGATGATTTCATCAAATGAACCAATCATGAACAACGATAATAGTATATAAAGAAATAAGAAAGAGAATTGTATACTTCTATACAATTTACTTCCGTTATTTTTATTTAGAATTAAAAAAATAACGATGTATCACAAAATAAAAACATATAAAAAAACTAATTAGAAAAGTAGTTGATTGATATTTGTTAGAATTTGATGATTGTTGATCATGAAGCATTTCTAAATAAACTCCATTTGTCCAACCAAAACCATCTTGTGTTGCATATTCACCACCACCAGCCGGTTTATTTATATTTACGACATCATATTTTTCCATCATTTTACCTGTATCGTCAAAAACACGTTGATTTAAACTCATCCATCGATCACGAATTGTTCTTGCAACTGTTTCATAAGCAGGCATTTTAAGTAAAGCACGATAAGTAATATATTGTAATGGAGCCCATCCATTAGGACTATCCCATTGTTGTGTACTACGATTTGATAATGTTGTAACAACACCACCATCACGTAAAAATTTTGATTCAACTTGACGAGCAACATTTTGAGATTGCTCTTCATTTGCAATATCAAGCCATAGTGGATAAAGAGCAGCTAATGTTAATCGATTTGTTGGTTTATTTGAAATATGATTATAATCAGTAAAAAATTGTATTTCAGATGACCACATATATTTGTATATTGCTTGTCGACGACGTTCAGCTTCATCTTTTTTACCTAATGTAACTTCTAAATGATATAATAAAGAATTAAGATCAACAGGAAGAATATCTGCTGTTCTTATTGTTGATAAATCTCCTTCATCTTCCATCCATCGTGAACTAAAATCCCATCCAGATTCAGCAGCTGCTCGAAGATGATCATAAATATCTGGTGTATTTGTTTTATTTGCTATTTCTTTATCTTCAAGATATGCTTCTGGTCTTGGTCCATCACTTTTATCATCATAATATCGATTTAAAATCGTTCCATCGAAAAGTGTAATGTTTCTTTTCGTCATCCAAAACTGATATTCTTGTTCTAGTACATCTTTATATTTATCTGTTTGTTTTGTTAATTCTGTCATTAATGAAAAATATGGTGGTTGAGATCGTCCTTCATAATAATATCGATTACCATTTGGAATAAAAGTCATATTTCGAATTAGAAAAGCAAAATTCTCTAACATATTATTTATTAAATCGTTTTGATTTGATCGAAGTAAACCCAACATAGTAAAATAAGTATCCCAATAATAAAATTCCCCAAAACGTCCACCGGGTACAACAAATGGATGTGGAACATCTATAAATGATGAAAAAGTAACATGTTTTGTTGTTCGTGTTAATAATGGCCATAAATTATGACAATGTTGTTCAATTGTCCATTTATCATGTACAATAGTTGTTGTATTTGGTAGAATGAAATGATTTAAAACAAATGAAGTTAAATTAAATGTTGGCTGAGGATTTTCTTCTCGATATAAATCACGAATTGCATTTGGAGTAAGATCACGTGGAATAGCATCACAAAATGTTTTCGAATCAGGAAATATACGATTAAGTTGTACAGCCTGAAATAGTTCACCATATAACTTATCAGGGGATTGAGCTATTGACAATAGAATATTTAGACAAAAAATGAATAAATGTAAAATCTTCATTTTTTGTTGTTATTTTTCTTGTTTTACAAGTACAAATATTGTCTAAGACACACTCCTATGATAACTAGTAGTTTATATGGTCTTGTTTTCATGAAGATCAAGCATATTTTCTTTGCTTATCACAAGTAAATAGATAATAAAATTACTATCCCGTGCAAAACATTTTATCAACTCGATGTCAGTAATATTTATCATATGTAAAAAAACAAAAGATATCTATCTCGAAATAGAAGGGACGTACAGTAGTTACATCATAAACAACAATATACACAACAGGAGAATAGAAAAACAACTATCTAAAGTAAATTTGTTTTTCAGTTTGAAAATCTCTGTCTTGTTGAAAGATTTGTACTTCATTTGGTTGACTATAATATTATCTTGATGATTTTGAAACTGATATAATCTTTTATTAAAAGTGAAACTCTTATTTATTGTTGTTATAAAAACAAAAAAAAGAATATACAGTATATTTTATTTAATGATCATAAGTCCTCATTTTCATCGTTGTTAAATATTCAAGCATTTCTTTATACAGATGTTAATACTCTTCTTCTGACAATCAAAACTCTATCTCATGACATAAAGTATAATTTAATATAAATAGAAAAGGATAAAATCATGTGTAGGCATGTATACTGATCATACAGAGTCCATTTTATTTCATACTCATTTTTATCTGCGTGGTGTCTTTCATTTATTTGCTAAACACTTTACCAAAACATAGTTTCTCTGTTTATTTCATTGCTCCTGTTACTTAAAAAAGAACTTTACTTGATAAGAGTATGAATATTTTACTAGTATCTTCACTATATTAAACTATTGTTATTCAAGTTAATTTGTACGATGCTATAGTATATATTTATATTGATTTAGACAATATGTTTTAGCAGTCACTACATATCTCGTTAACAATAGTACTTGAAATCGATTTATTCTTTTATTATATCTTTGAAAAGTCTCAAAAATAAAGTGTAGTTTTATTTTCTTATAAGTACTTTCACAAGATCTATAACCATTAACAGAAACAAACTACTTGTATTAAAATATCATACTTTGAAAAAAGTCTATAGAATAAACAAAAAAAAAATGAAAATGATAAACTCAATCTACTCTGTCTTTTTTGTTTCTACTTATGTCAATATTGTAAATAATATATGTATATCATAAAAGGAAAACTTATTTATTACGTTATTCAAATGATCAAATACATTTTTCATTATTATTGAAAGAAAAACCTCTAATTCAATATAATATATCAATAAATTGCATCTCCGTAATATTGTTTTTAATACAGTAAAAGAGCTATTTACGATACATATAGGCGACATAGTAACACTAAAACTTGCACTTGGGTTTTGTCTTTTACTTTATCTTTCGATTTGTTACTTATCACAGATGTATATTTCTAATGATGTATCAATAATCTAATATTTCTAATGAATTTTTATATAAGCAAGTGACGACATCTTTGAATAATAATTGTCTATAAAATGATTAGATTATAAAAAGTGGAAGAAGAAGAAGATTCATACTTTTTCGTTTATTCATCGTTGTATTCTAATTAAAATAATAATGGGTGAAATATTAATTTTAAAGTCAATTAATGGACGTCAATTAACAGATGCTTTAGTTAATTCATGGTTTGATGCAAATGAAATGTTTGTAACTAAAACAATTTTTTCTCATGATCGATATTCAGTTGAAGTTACATTTATTGATGAAGACAGTATGAAAAAAAAACAATGAAAATAGTAATTATATATTTGATTCATATTTAAGGAGCTGATATGATGTCTGATCTACTATCTACTTGTTATGGTGATTTAATATCCGTAGAACGTCCACAAACATTAATGACACCATTAAATACTTCATTTGATGATGAACGTGTACCATCACCTGCTCCATCCGTATGTTCAGTTTCATCGAAAGTTTCGTGTTTTTCTCAACGACTTATTTCATCAGATAAGAAACGAAATGATGATAATGATAAAATAAAACTTGCAGTAGGTCGTGGACGTGGAATCGATACAAATCTATCACAGATGGACAAATTTACAATAAAAAACACAAACAATGGTGTTGATGATGATACTCATTCAGTAGCATCATCAGGATTTGGACGTGGACGTGGTTCTACTTTGAAATAAACTAGTTTTTTTACCTTTCTCTCTGATTTGTTTTTTGTATATACTTCTTTGTTAATCATATAAACTATTGATAGATTTTTCAAGATAATGACAACATTTTTCCCACGTGTATCAAAATTGACAATTATTCCAGTCGATCGTGAAAGTTTATTGAATGGTATTATTCATTTGGAAAAATCAAATAATTCCATATTTCAATCATCTACTCTTTCACTTAAAGATATTTGTACTCGTCATCTTCTATTAAGATTTGGTGATGATCATGAAATATATAAAATGTATCTATCATCACAACTTATTCGATATATTACTTATGAATATTTAACAGTAACAAATAATAAACAGTATCAAATACTAACCAATGATGAATCAAAAATCTTATTTTGTCGTGATTGTTCATTGAATGATTTAGGTGCATCAAAATGTCGACGTCGGAAATGTTTAGCAAATCGAGTACGAGATATGTTTGATAAATTATCCTGTCATATTATTCCATGGGAAAACGGACAACATTTTGCTATTTTACAAAATGATGATACAAATGAGAATGATGATGATGATGATGATAATTCAGTTCTATTTATTTATCTTAAATCAAATAATTGTCGATATAAGAAAAACTCTAAAAATTGGATACAAGAATATTTTTATTTATTAGATTTATTTCGTATACTTCATATTAATATAGTTCGAGAATAAGATTTGTCAAGATAAATATCTTTTAGATGATTTTGTTATTCTAAATAAAAACTTCTCGAAATTATTGAGAGAGAAAAATCTAACTTATGATTACAGTTTAACATGTGCAAAGAAGAAAAGAACTAACCACAATGAAAAGATCTCTATATAATTCATATGGAAAGAAAAGAAAAAGTTGAAACAAAAAGAGAAGATGCCCCCGGTGAGGCTCGAACTCACGACATCCGCATTGCTCCGATACTGTGTATAAGTACGGCGCTCTAATCCAACTGAGCTACGGGGGCCTGTTGAGAAGTAGAAAGAAATATATATTCAACCAAAACATAAGGTTAAATCGATCGATCAAACTTATCAGATAAATATTTTATATAAATGCATTGACTAATCTATGTTTGTCGTGATAAATAAAAACATTTTTATTGATATTATGATTAGAAATTTTTTTATATTAAATTGTTTTTTGGGTAATTTCAGTTTCTCATATGCAAATTAAGTAATACTGGAAAGTGTATTTTTTTAAATTAAAAATAATTTTAATTAAATTTCTTACTAGTCAAAAAATAAATAATTCATTAAAATATTCTTTGTCAAAGTAGAATAATGATTTGTCGTGAAACTCTTAATGGTAAGATTTATTATAATAGTTTGTTTCGAATTTATACAAATACTTTCTTTAAATAAAAAAATGATTAATCTTGTATTGAAACTGTAATTATTGAGAATTTAAATTAATAAGTTTATTTCTGAAGTTTATTATATGTCAGATGCCGTTATGGAATTTTCGGCGTTGGTATTAATAAATTGTTAATAGAAAGCACTATAACAAATATATATATGTGATTCAGCTGATACAACTGTCAAGTCTTATAGTTTTGCGCTGTCTTTATATATGAGTATAATGGTATGCGAACCAGTTGTTAATTATGTAAATGAATTCTATCCTATACATCGTGTTGAATATTCTAATGTTAGATAAATTTTATACCAAAATAAAAAAAAAGAATTTATTAATACTTTAATTTAATAAGACGATTTTTGTTTTGTTCAACAATGAAAATATGTTATTTATATAACAAAAAACATTTTACTTGTCAAGTATTTTCATAGGAAAGAATTTCTTTCATTATAAATTAAATAGTTTATTTTAAAAAGTATGCGATGTTTTTATTTTACAACTCGATCAAATAAATATTTTTATATTGCATTGAAGAATGTAAATTGAGCAAATACAGTATCATAAACTTTTATTTATTATCATAATAAAAGAAAGTTTTTTTTCAAATATTTGCTTTTTATTTGGGCGTAATCACTATTTTCATTTTTTGCCTTTATTGAAACTAAGTCGATTATAGCAACAATAGAAAGAGAAATAATCATTGGCAAACTTATATAATTGCTGAATAATATCATATTATTGGATTTTTACATAGACATTTTTTATTATTTGCGAAGAATTCATTGCAGTCGGTTTTTAGAGAATAATAAAAACAGAAAAAATTTTTGCATATGCACATAAACATACATACAAAATAAAGCTTAGCAGAATAAAAAGCAACAGAGAAAAAAAATATTTTTTTAAATAATATTACAAATTGATGAACGACCAGTTGCATCCGGTTGTCCAACATGATGATGATGATGGTGATGATGAGAGAATGCTGCTGAATTTGTATTATTAGCATTAGATTTTGATACACGACGGGTATTATTAGCGTCTGAAGGTGGAGAAGGTATTGGTGGAAGATTTGAAGGTGGTGGTTGTGATGGATTTGGAATAATAATTGGTGGATGTGTACTAATTGTTGATCGTTTTCGAGTATTAATTTGAAGTCGTAATTGATCAACATCATGTCGAAGTTCTGTTATTTGCCCACGTATTGTATCAATTGCACCTTTATTTGCATGGATTGTTGCTATAAGTACTGGATCTATTGTTGGACTTTTTGGAGTTGGAGTAGTTGCTGTTTGTTGTTCACGATTAACTGTCTTAGGTTCTTTTAAAGGTAAAGAAGAAGGAGAAGAAGAATTTTCGTTATTATTATTATTAGTTTTTGTCACTTTAAGTGACGTTGCTGAATCAGTTTGTGCTGAAACTAAATTATTTGCTGGTAATTCTGGCTTAGTTGATTCAATTATTTTTCGTAATGTTTCCTATAGAAAAATAAAATAGAAAAAAAAGCCATTAGGATGAAAATATACAATTTTATTTTCAAATTTATATTTTGTTTAATTTAATAAAGGGGTTAGTACATGGAAATAAAGCAGCAACAATAACAACATGCAAGCAAAGGTATTTCAATAAAAATAATAATAATAAATTTTTAATAAAATGTTCATTTCAAGGAGAAAAAAAACGATTTTTTTAAATAGATACTTAACAACGTTAGTTTTTATTATTACCAATGTCGTTGGTCATCTAGAAAAAGTTCTTGCGTTTTAATACAATATATAGAAAAAAAGAGACGGAACTTATAAATAACATATAAAGCAATTACAGTACATATGACAATGCGAAATACAACATTGCTGGGTTTATGTATTATTTATCACTTAATGCTCTGTACCTGAGAGGCACTTTCTGACCATAACGATTCTAGAAAATAAAATAAAAAGAAACAATAGAGATTTTCTTTTTCACATTGAAAAATCTATAGTTTTCTTTTTTTGTGAAATTCTAGAATAAATTAATCTTATTTTAAACAATAATGACAAGAAGATAGCAATGAATATTTAAGAGCAAAGCTCATTAAATGATATGTTCTATTTTTAAATTCACAACAAATAAACATTCAGATGATTACTCACTTAATTTGTCATGTTCTTCTTGTAATTTTTCCCAATTATCACGATTTTGTTTGCAACCTTCATAAAGTGGAGTTAAACCAGGATCAACATCGGAAAGCATCTGAAGAATAATAATAATATACATAATAAATCATAGAAAGATAAATCTATTTACTTTATAAAGTGGAAGGCAGATTGAATCAATAAAACCAACTAGAAAACAAGAAGAACGAAATTATTTTTTGTAAATTTCGAAAACAAACCTTGCATTTTTGGTAATTCATCTTTTTTAGCTCGATCCATCATTGGCTAAAAAGAAAGAGAAATAAATGAAAGGAATTATATTAATAAATATTTTAATATACAATGGGTTCAACATGTAATTGATTTCGTTCAATATCTCCTTGTTGAAAAAATTCACTTGCAACTAATTTTGCAACAACTTGTTGAATTTCCCATGGTTTACAAATAGCTGCGACATCACATGCTGTCATCATCATTCCTCTTTAACAAGAAAAGGAAAAGATTAAAATAAAATGTCTTAATATATTTTCATACCGAAGTAATTCTTTTTTAGTTGGATCAGACCAATGTTCTTCATTTGTTTCGACTAATTTTTGAAATTCACCTCGTTTTCTTTTTTTTAGAAAAAAAATATTTTTAATCGGAAAATTCATTTTCTTATTCTTACCGAAAATAAAGTGCTAAATCAGTTGATAAAATAGCAACTTCTATATAACGAACAACTAATTTATAATCATCGGGTGATAATGCTTGTAATATATTATTTCCTTCAGTTTGTAAAATCATAATACATTGATCAAAATGATGATGTTCAAGTGTTGATGTTGTATATAATTTAGCAAGTGGTGCATCAACTTTAGCTTGAAAAGCATTATTTGTTCCACGATGATCAAGATCATGACTTAGACATGCAATTAATAAACCAATTCGTTCAAAATCACTCATACAAACATTCATACCACCGGTCTACAAATAATATATATATGATATTCTCTAATAAACTAATCTTATGGTCAAATTAAGTGAGCTCCAAATTTGAAGTTTACGAGTATAGCTTAGAGTTTTTCAGGAAAACTTAGATATTCGTAAACTTCAAATTTGGAGCACACTTAACTTGACCTAATCTTATTAACTTACTGTAAGCATAGAAAACATTGTTTGAGCAACATTGAATGCATGTCTCCAATTATGATAAATCACTGGACGATAATTTTTCTTTACACTTAATACCCATCGACAGATAACATCATGTGGTATATGTAATTTTTTCGGTAAATCTAATTCAATAAACATTCGAACGCTAGATAAAACTGTTTCATCATCCGTTAAAACCATATCATTAAATTCCCATGCATATAATCTTAATTGATTTGCTTCAGGTACAGAAACTGATGTAACACGTTGAACATCTTCTTCAGATGCAATTACATGATAAGATAAAACTTCAAATGCAACATTTTGTTTAGCTGTTAAACGTAAGACATTCTCATATTGACGAGTATTATGAATACCTAAACCACAAAAAACTGAAAATGCCTAAAACAAAAATATTCAACATAAGAAAATTAATCGAACAAAAATTATACTTCAATAATTGCTACATCATCTTCAGTAAAAATTCGTCCATTTAATTTATTCATAACTTGACAAACACCAATAACATGACCATCACTATCCATAATTGGTACACATAGAATATTTCGTAACTGAAATGTATCATCACCATTTGAGATTAACTAAAAAGAAAAGAATAAATATTTATTATTATTGTTTTTTTTCTATACAAAATTATTACAAGATGTGCAAGTGCTTGATCATTTGTTATATCATTGAGATTAACTGTTTCCATTGTTGTTGCAACATGAAAAGCAATTTTTGCATAACGAGAATTTTCAAGAAAATCATTTCTATATAGAGAAAGTTTTTATTTTTATAAATAGGATAAATTTTTTAATTAACTATCACATACGTTGTAACTTTAAATTCTTCACCATAAACCATATCAAATCCTTTAGAAAAATGAATATCCTGAAATAAAAAAAAAAGTAATAATTTTTTATTCTTCTTCTTTTTTTTAATTAAAGTTTACCTCGGTTTTCTTTGATGTAGTAGATCGATCTAATATATAAACACAACAACGAGCACATTGCATAAGACCTTGAGATTCAGTTGTTATTTTATGAACTAAACGTTCAAGATCATTTTGTTCACGAAATAAATTTCGTGCTAAATTGAGAAGAAGCTAAATAGAAGAAAAAAAAAATAATATATAAATATTGTTTTTTGTTATTATAAGAAATTAATTATAGTAAGTAAAAGTAAATCCTAACCTTAAGTCTATTTACAAGTGAGAGATTCTCTTTAGTATTTTGTAACTCATCATTCGATGACATATTTGTTGATTGTAAATGTCCATTATCACAAGTTTTATTGTCATTCGAAGACAAATATGTAGAAGGAGAAGGAGAAGATTGAGCGTTTGTTCGCTGAATATTTTCTTGTTTATCAAATGACATTAAATATTTTCTGTTGTCTAAAAAGTTTTATTTCTTTTTTGATTTAATCAAGCTGTGTCATTGTTCCGTAAAAAATTTAATATATTAGATTCTGACTTGATTAGCTTTTTACATGCATGATGGATATAAACGAGGGGAAAAAATCAAGAAATAAGACGCATAAAAAAGAAAGGAAAGAGAAAGAGAAACAAAAACTCTGCACTCCTCCTAAATACGCAAAAATGAGAGCATTCATCATGCTCTTTTTTTTTGCTTCGTTTTTTTCTTCGTTTTCTTTCTTTTCTTGTTTCTGTTGTCAAAACGACGTTAGAAATATTTGTCTATGTGCATTTGAATCTCATCAGGCATGACGGGAATAACATGTCTCGAAAAACAAACACATGAATTCTTTTTTTTGTCTTAAATAAAAAATTAAAAAACAAAAAATTAATTACTTGATTTTTTTTATATTCTTGTATAGATAATTCAAATAGTTGAGCATTTGATAGACCGAGACCACAAAATGTCAAGTAATTACGGAAGACCTACAAAATATTTTAAATATTATCTTTTATAATATAAATATCAATACTATACATTAATATCTTTAGATGTGAATTCATGTGTACCAGTTTTTTTATTAATTAATTGTGCAACACCAATAACAACATTGTCACGATTTAAAATCGGCATACAACATATTGAATGTGTTCTATAACCAGTCTTATTATCAACTTCTTTATTAAATCTTGGATCCTATTAAACGAAAAGAGAAAAGAAAAAGAAAGGGAATAAAATGCTATGTCAATAATCTATTAACAGGACGAAAACAAATGTGATTACTTAAGAGTTTCACGCTGTTTTATTCACGTTGTCAACGATTTTTTTTTGTTATGGACACGTAGGAGAAATAAAAATATAGATATATATATATATATATGTACATGGAATGTCATAAGAGAAATTCTCATTCTTAAATTAGATCTCAATTTTATAAAAACAATGGTAAAAAAAAATGAAGCATCTACTGATTTTGAAGATTATGCTTTAAGAGAATCTCAAATAATAACAGCATATGGAGGTGTAGCAAAACATTCTCGACCCAAAGGATCTAAACACAAATCAAATGGACGTCCTTCATCAGGTGAAACTACAAATCGCAGTTCACGGTCTCATAAAGCACATGTTCATACACCACGACATGAAGCACATGATAAAGCACATGCAAAACTTAATGCTAATAGTGGTCCTGTATATTTTCAAAAAGTTACTAAAAATCATAATCGAACAAAAAAACCTAATCCACCACAAAATTCAAAACAGAATATTTATTCAACTGACCAATCAACGTCTAAATCTACAAAGTCCACAGTGCCAACAGTCAAGGAAAAAGGTTGTTGTTGTTGTTGTACAATTCTTTAGAAATTAACTTGTTTTTATTAAAGCTATTTTTTTTTGTATTTATGAAGAAAAAACAAAATAAGAACAAAAATATGAATTTCTTTATGATTCATTAAACAATATAATCATCTTCTGAGTAAATCTTGAGAATGTAGACAGGAATGTTAAAGTGAAGGTGAGAAAGGTTTCATTTTCCATTTCCTATCATTATCAACAAGTTTAGATTTCTGACATATATACACTCAAAGTAAGATGAATTATTTTCTATTTATAGAAAACGAAAAAAATTTAAAATAGACTTACTTCATAAGCATCTGGAATATTGATATATTCTCTTGTTAATGCAACATGACCAGCAATACCTTTCCCGAATGGTATAATAATTTGTTGATCTTCTTTATGAAGTGATTGTTCAAGTGTTGAACCAGCTGTAACATCAAATAATTTTGATATAAGATATCGTGAATCTTTTGGACCACGTGCTAAAAATAAACTTCCACGATCTGAATTTGTTAATATTGATACATTTGTTAAAATTTTATGGCAAACAACATCAACATTTAATTCATTGGCAATATCACGTATAAGTTCAAAAAATAGTTCATGTTCATCTAAACTCATATAATCAACAATTTGTGTTGATGATGTCGATGAATCACGATTTGAATGATGACCTTGAACAATATTATTAAACATTTCATGTGTTAATGATGTACGTGGTTTAGCTAAATATTCTTTTTGTTCTTTAATTTTTATACATTCTTGTAATAAATCATTTGGTGCATTATCTTTAAACCAACGTTTAAGAAAATTTGGTTTACGAGCTAAATAACGAGCAACCATTTCTTCTGATAAAGCTTGTTGTGATTGTAAGACATGTGTTGATGATGAATGATGAGGTGGTGGTGGTGTTGGTGGATGATGGTGTTGTTGTTGATTTTCAGAGGAATTATTTGTTGTTTTATACATTTTTCGATGTGACTAGGGAAATATAAAAAAGTAAAAGAAAATTATGAACAAAAGAACAAAAAGTATGCTTGATCAGCGTAAATAGGAAATAGGCTATAGCGGATGATAATTTTGACATATGAATGAACTTAATAAAAGTTTTTTCAGGTGATAACAAATGATTCGAGATTAAGAAGTGCAATGAGAAAAGAGAGAAGGAGGGGGGTAAAATGATAAAGAAGAAAATATACAATTTTTTCTTTTTAAAGATAAAAAACGGAAGAAAACCTGAAAAATAATTTAAAGCACCATGAAGACAAGCAGAAGAAGAAGAAGAAAAAGATGATGAGATAATCTGAAAGAGCAAAAAAACGAGGGATAGGAATGAATGACATCAGCATTTCCTGTTATAGTCAGATTTTTAATATTGAATTTCATTAGAGTGAAGGTTTTCCTTATGTTTGTTTCTGCAGGGAACAAGTCTTAGACATCACACAAATGAATAATATAATAATGCACTAAAAACAAATTTCAATATACCAATAGATTTAGTTTAATCTTACATGTTATTCTAAGAACATGAGTAAACCATCGGTATAATTTCATTTATCTTTCGCAAAGTCAAAAATAGATTTTGTCTTCTTTTATGATTTAATAGATAATACTAAATACTCACTTCATTTTCAATGGATTGTGTACCTAATACATCCTTACGTATTTTTGACATGTTGATAGAAATCTTCATTAGAAAGAATTTATGTGTTGTTTACTCTGTTAATATTCTTTCTGATCTAAATCTCATCCACTGTCTCTATTTTTCATCCAATTCTAATCAAAAAAAAAAGAAAAAAATATAGAGCTACCTGTCATGATAATTCGATTATTAAATCTATGTTGAAAATATTAGCTTTTTCACTCTTAATAAATTTAAATATTCATTCAAGCAAATGATAGAAAATTTAATAACTAAAACAATTCAATTATATATAAAACATGACAAGAAAGTTACTGTCAATCTTAAACTTATATTATTTAAGATAAAAATGAGATAATTAATAATCGTTGTCCTAGTAACAATAAATAAGATAAAAAAAGGAAAAAAAATACCTGTCACTTCACTATATTTCATTTATCAACATCTTATACTATGAGTACTATTAACATTGCTATGATTCTTCAAGCTATATTTATATGACTGTTTAACATATATTTGTTTTTCTCTATATAATTATATATTCACCTTTACTGCTCTAACATCCATTGAAAATTTGAAAAAATTGTTCACGCGTAATAATGGTAGATAATGATTGTAACGATGAATGAGAGCTAAATATGATGTTTTTAATAGCGATGATGCATATAGTTATATTAAATAATGATAAAATTCGTTTATGTTGATTAAACCAAAACATGGATCGATTAAAACTTCTCTTCTTTTTCTATAACAGCACGCGTTCTTCTTCTTTTTTTTTGGAATAAGAAAATATAGGGTAAAAGCGTTGTCTTTTTCCTTTGTATTTGCGTGTGTTTATATAATCTCGTTTGCACTTCATTCTTTGTATATCTCTTCTTTTTCTTCTTCTTCTTTTCTTCTTCTTGTTACCACAACAACGGAAATCTGTTGTCGTCCTTTTTCAGAACATAGTCCTTTGAATGACGTCGGTATGGTGCGATAAGCTACTAACTCATCCACACAGTTGATTGAACACCGGCATGCTATTCTTTCTATATGAACTCATCACGCATCAATACGACCATCATTTACTTCTCCTGTTGTTTTTTCTTTTATTATTTTCGAGTGCAATCTATACAAAAGTCAAAAAAAAACAAACTAGAAAGAGAGAGAGAGGAAAAATACGATAGAAACGGAAATTATGACACTTCATCAAAATGAAATATCAATTCGAACACATTTATCTAATGAAAAGTTAACAAAAAAAATCTACCTATCACTATATTGTTTAAACAAATATATATTAATTTACAAAATGTTTTCTTTTTTATTATTCCTCTTCAATTTGTAATTGAACACTTTTAATAACATGTATCCGATTAAATTGTAATACTTTATGTAAACTTATTCTATCACGATATTGTATACGATATGCATTTGTTTGTCCATATCGATAACAATTAAGTATATAACCAAATTTTGAAAAATATTCAAATAAATTATAATCAGTAAGACGATAAGTAACATTACGTACAAGAAGATAATTATTACATTCAGTTAATTTATCATCAATATCAATGAATATATTTAATATACGTCCATTTAAAAAAAATGGTCGTTTTAATAATAATTCAATACTATCATTTATATTAAATAAACCTAAGATATAAATTTCTCCATAACAACTTTCATGTGTAGTAAAATTTTGTAAATTAGGAAAATAATTTAGAAATTTATCTTGATCTTTACTTAAAAAATTTCCAATATGAACAAGTTTTGTTAATGGTAATGATGGAAGAATTTTATTTGAATTATTATGTCGAGGATAATATTGAAATTTACAACCATTTATTTCATTATTAGAAGATGATAATGCTCGTTGTGCATCATCTAATTGATCAAATTCAATAAATGCATAACCACGAAAATTATAGAAAACACAATTAAGTATACGACCGAAATGTTTTGTTGTATATTCATATAAACAATCTTCAGTAATTGAAGCATATTTATTTATTTGTACACAAAGAAATTTTGGTCCATAGAAAGATTCACTAACTAATGATGTACTACAATAAGAAAGAAAGATTTTTTTTTTCTTCTCTTCGTCATAGAATTTTCATTTACTTTATTCGACAATTTTGAATAAAATGTGGTCGATCGTTAAGATACTGATTTGCTGTTATCATAGATGAAAATAAAACAAGCATATATTGATGATTATATTGATTTTTTCTTCGAAAACAACGAAGATTTTTATCATATTTTCTACAATATCTTTCAATTTCATTTGTTGTTAATCTTGTTATATTATGTATAACAATAAGAGGACATCTTTCATCATGTTTTCTATTATTCATTTTAATAGAATAATATGATCACATAAATTTTGAAAGAAACATAGATTAAAAAAGAATAAAGCAATCATTGGTTAGAAGATTAGATTTATAATAAGCTTAGTTTCTGCTCATTCCTGCCATCTAACGAAAGATCTTTCGATGAAATTCTTTGTTCACTTATAATTATAAATAGAATATTATTTTCAGTTATTATTCTAACCTTTTCAATATAATTTCCGTTTGTCTTCTCTAATGAGTTTAGCATTATATTTATATGGAATTTCATAACTTACAAACGTTAAAATCATATATTTTTATCTTTGATTAAAAACAAATGATTCATCAGTATGCTTTATCATTTAAAGCTTCAAAAATAGAAATGTGTGTTTTTTGTTGGTATTCAGATACCTTATAATGAAATATTCATGAATAAGAACAATTATATACATCATGTGGGTTTCAATGACGACATGTCTGACATGAAAAGAACTTGCACTCAAATGACTTTTGATAGATGATATAAATCTTTAAAGACTAAAAGATTAAACACTCGCGTCGATGAAATAATATACGCTTATATATAAATTATTATAGAATATCGTTTTTTATCATAAAGGGTGTTCCAGAAGTTTTGAAACGAGAGTAAAAATTTTATGTTTTCTCGTTTCTGCAAAGCGAATCTTCTTGAAACTTTTATAGATTGTTGATCATAACTGCTGCTATATAATCACAAAGTTTTAAGTATATAGCTGCTTTCATTGATGAGAAACTAGAAAAACACTGCTGAGTAAAATTTCGATAAATTTTTCAAAAGCTAGATTTGTAATGTCTTTGACTTCTCAGGATGGATTAATTTGCTGGAAATGTAATAAATGCAATACAAATGAACGAAATTCTTTTTTTTCTTCCAGTAACGGTTCATACAATATGTTTTGTGTTAATTGATTGGCAAAAGACTAATACTATTCCTCATATACCCTAGTCATTAACACGTGCACAAGAAAATATGTGTAGCTAAAAGAGACACTTTCCAGTCTCGTATATTTAATTAAAACATCTTAGAAATAACGATTTTACTGTCATTTATATCAAATTTTACTCAATAGTGTTTTTCTAGTTTCTCGTCAATGGAAGCGGCTATATATTTAAAACTTTGTAATTATATAGTAGTAGTTATAATCAGCATTCTATAAAAGTTTCAGGAAGATTCACTTTGCAGAAGCAAGAAAACATAAAATTTTCACCCGCGTTTCAGAGCTTTCGGAACACCCTTTATATCTAGTGTTATAATACATGACAGTTAGTTTTGTACTTGTTCTGATAAAAAAACAGTCATAAGTCATCTCTTTACTTTTTCTTTTCATTCGAATAATAAATGAAAAATTGTTTAATACTTGATGCTTCGATTATTAATTAATACTGGTTTTTTATCTAAAATATTTCGTTGTATTCTTTAATTTAAATATTTATAATTTGTTTATTTTAATACAGTAAAAATATATACATTTTGAAATTTCTGAATAAAACGAATTAAATAGTCAACTAAATCTTTTTTTTGACCAATTTGTTTTGGTTTTGAAAATGTTGAATCAAGATTATAATAAATTCCATTAACATTTTTGATTGTTAACCAATGTGCACCATTTATATTAATTAATAAACCAAAATATGAATCCCATGGACGATTAGAAAGTGATTCACCATTATAAAAATTTATTTGTTGAACTTGATATCCACATCGATTAATAGCTTCAATTAATACACGTAGATCATAATCACCTATCCATAATGTTCCATAATCATTATTTACACGTTTTTTATCAAATTCTTGAACAATACTATCAAGATGTTTATGAGTAAATAAATGTGGAATTTGAAATAGATTATTTAATGAATGAATACCACATCGAAGAAATTCTTGTTTTTCATGATAGATAAACTAAAAACAATGAAAATTTTATGTTATAATAATAAGAAATTCAACACTACATTTTTATCATTTTGTTTTAGTTTTTGTTGTGAATTGTTTCGTTGTTGATGATGAGATCCTGTTTTCAAATGTGTTCTTGCTGATTCATCTGCATCACCGTATTGCTGTAAAATTACAGCATAATAATAATCGTCATCTTCATTCTGTTGTATTTTTTTATTATTTTTCGCATAGGCATTACCCAAATCTTAATTATAATATAAAAATTTGAATCGATATTATTCATAACTTTCTTACTTGGATTAGTGACAGATGCTTGATGATGATGTCCATTATTGGCACTTTTTGCAGTTGAATTTTGAGTAAATTTTCCTTTAAATTCTTTGTTATTATAATAAGCATCTACAACATCCTAAGTGAAGAAAACAAGGAGTAAATAAAAATAAAAAAATATTTTTTTCGTTATTTACCTGAAGTTTCCAATTATATTGATGAAGAAAATGAATACAATCTTCAATATTAAATCCTGTTATTTCCTTTAAAGATTTATAAGAATAAAAGTAAATAATATTCTGTTAGAAGAAAAAATAAAACGCACATGAAAAGTATTCAGAATTCTATCACGTGATTGTTTTTGAGATGAAGGTGATAATGAAGTCGACATTTTTCTTTTTGACTATATATTTTCTTGTCGCACGACCATGTAGGTATGTAAGTAAAAGGACAGACGAAGAGGACGAAAAAATCAAGATAGTTAGTTTTATATTTATGTGTCATTTTGTTTCTCATTCGTATATTTACTACTCATGAATATTCTACCTGAATATATGTGTGGAGAGTTTCTTATCATGACCAATAAGATAATCAAAATAATTATACAAGATAGATGTCGAATGAATAAATAGATTTCACTCCGACGATTCTATATCGTGAGAAGAAATTGTACAAAATCATTGCTGATAATCTAACAATTTTTTTGAGTTATTTACGAATATATGATATAAATTAATTAAAATAAGACCTTGGGAAAAATATTAAAAAATCGATATATCGAAGAATGTGAAGAGTACTAGTAATATGAATTATTTTTCGTTTAATTACGCAATACTCATATTTTCATTCTTGTTTTTGAAAAGTGTGTATAATAAACTTACATTTTTTATCTGGTAATTAACTGTATGCTAGAGTTTAGCGATGTGCATGCAGTTTGTCTATGTAAATAGAAGAACAGAACTAGTTGTCAACGTTTCATAGGATAAAATATTGAGTGTCAATTAGATTGACTGATGTGAACTGTATTTGAGATGGTTGACAAAGAAGATATAGAGCTTGATTAATCTGCAATGAACTGAAAATTCACGTACTTTGAATTACTATTGAACTTGAAGAAGCAACGAAGAGAAAAGGAGAAAAATAGTCGCACATCTACTTCATTAGGTTATTAATGAACCGATAAGTCAAAATTTCAAATATCAACTCAAAAAATTGTCTCATATGAATATAGAAAACGTGTTTTGTATGTTAAAATTATTCTATTGATATTGGAATTAATAACATATTGAATTTATTTATTTTCGTATCTATTTGAAGAGACTCTGTGGGATACATCTAAGTAAACATTATTCATTTCATAAAATAATATAATCATATCATCGCTACTTTCATTTTAAGATACAGATAAACTCTTTGTTAGAAAATTTTGCTTGCTTTCATCTTTCCTTTTATAAATACAATTAGATTAGGTCAACATGTGTCACAAACACCTTATTCAAGTTATTCACTACAAAAACAATGAAATGTTACTTAGGGTAACAGCTCGTAAAATATACTGAATAATCTCCGTTGACGTCAGTTTTTATGCAGAATCGTAGATGAAAATAAAAAGAGAACTGACAACTCCTTTGATGATAATAATGAATTATGTAAATTCGTTTGATACTTGAAGATAGTAGTGAAACGCTTGTTGTAATTATCATCACAATTGAATCAAGTTCTGAGTGGATACGACTTTTCATATTCAGTACTCTCATAGATTATTTCCCCTTTCTTATAAATATTTAATTTCTGCTATACATGCTTGACTATATTGCAACTAAGAGCAATATTGGCGCTGAACATTACAAACATAATATGAATGAACACATTAATAATATATATTGTACATAAAAGAAGGAGACGAAGGACACCATTCCTAATAATCAAATTCGCTAAATGTTGAGTTAGAAAGATTGACTTTGTTTTCTCGATTTGTTAGCATCAGATATGTCTTTTTCAAAATAATATCAATATTATTTTACAGTTAACATAATAAAGATTTTATCACACAGACTAATTGCATCTTTGATCTATCGATATATTTGTTTTTCTATCTTAATATATATATTTTCATCTTCTGAATGTTCAAGTTTAGTTTTTATATATAAGTTCACTTCATAATGTAACAGACTATTGTGAATACCGGAAAAAAAGCTTCAATATACAATCGAGCTATTTTTTTTCACCTCAAAAACTAAAAGTTTAGACTGATGATTAGTGGATCCAAATATGAGATTCTAGTTGATTCAAATGTATCTAACTGTCTTGATACTTATACAGATAATGATAGGAATAAGAAAATTATAAAATATAGCACGTTGTTCTGTATCTCTTCAATCATTGACTGACAGATTGATTGATTCATTCTATGCTATTGTTTTGCATTTTCATGTTTATCTTTAAATAAGTAAAGTATCTTCTCACATCAGTAACTTAATGTTTTCATTGCAGGACATCATAACTTTCACATTATCTATGTAATAATATGCCAATCGAATATTTCATTAAAATAATAAAACGAAAAAAGAGATTAGCTTTAAAATTTGTGTCTATTTCCGATATACATATACTCACGATAATCATATAAATGAAATTCTCGGATAAAGTAATTTTATATTTATTAATAACAAAACATCTTTTGTCACCTTTTTCCTTCATTAAAAGTTTTTTTTCTCCTCTATATATGATTAGTTCTAATAGAAATTTCCGGATGTGTTACTAATTATACATACTTTTGTTCATATAGAATCACGTAAAGAAACGGAAAGGCATTTTTAGCATCCGATTTCACACCTATGCTGAGAAACATCTGTCTTATTCTATTATACAGATTGATGAGATCTTTTCAAGCTAACTGCGCACATTAAATGTATATAGTTGCTATTTGATAATAGGATAAGATCGTATTATATATCTATCACAATAAAGTCAGCAGATGAAAAAATTATTTAAGTAAAGAGGAAACTAGGAACACATCTTATCGATAAAACAAGTGATTGTATTATACAAATATTTGTATTATGTACATTTCCGTCATCAACTATATCTGTTCTGCTATAACAATATTACACAGAAGATTTCTAATTGATGATTTTTACTAATTAAAAAAAAATAATGGATTCTTTTCCGTTTATTAATAATCTCGATTTAAATTATAATTGGTTCATTTGATTGTGTTTTTTTTTCTTGAAAATCTAAATTTCACTTCAAGAAAAATAAGCTGATAAAACATCAAATTTTTCTTTATATTTAAATCGTTTACACAACATAAAAATTAGATTGTTTGTCTACAATGTTGACTACACAGATGGAATAAATTAACACTCAAACAAGAATAAACACCTCATTTCGTGAAACAAACGAAGCAAGTGTCAGCTGCTGTTATTAAATCGAATATATATAGCACCGGAAGTATACCATTGCACTTATCGCTTCTGTTTATTCATATCATCATCTCACGATTGGTTCATTTAACCATCTCAACCAATGAAAAGAAGAAGAAAAGAAAGAATGAACAATTGATGTTAGTCACTATGATAAACCCCTAAGGGTATAAGAAAAATAAAGAAGAAACGAAGAAAAGACCCAATTAGAAGTTTATACTAATCTTTGAAATATGCATATGTCACGAACATCTAACACATATTGATCATAATTGAAAGCAACAATCATCTTTCTTTTTTTACTTTCAAACGATGAATTATCTTTTATTATTAATGAAAAAATAATAAGTCATACTAATTTTTAATATTCAAAGTATTAAAAAATCATTTGATATCGTTAATAGATGATAATTCGTATTAGATTGAAAATGATCGAGCCAGTTTCTCTTCAAGCTCCATTAGATATGTATGATCGGCAAATATACAATATGTTTGATCTTTTTTTTTATTCCGTAAAATAAAAGCAAACTCATTTGTTCATTCCCTATCACATTTTATTAATGTCGACAATAACGATAACAGAAAACACCTACTAGTGTGAATAGATTCTCTGGGGAGTAAGCTGTCAGCATTACTTTTCATTGGTTCATGTAAACGAAACGTCTCGGCCACATGGTGATTGGCACGCATACATGCCGTGCGGCTAAGATACAATCTTCACGGAATGATTGCACTGTATTCGCTTCAATGGATCCTCTTAACAGTCAAATGATGTGAAAATGAAATGAAAAGCATTGAAACGACTTCGTCAATTGCATATTAGAGATTCGTCTATGTCACACTCAAACTATAAAGAAAAAGAAAAGTCATTTATCAATGTCTCTAGAGAAATAGATTTTAACTATTTGATTGTTATATTTTTTAGTTTTAAATATCGATTTCATTTTACAACCAAACAATTTAGAGAGAGAAAAAGAAAGCATTTATGCTTAATAGATATCAAATTCTCAATCAACTGAGCAAAAACAGACATGATCGCCTTAAGCTATTTTTCTTCTTGCTAGTCGATCAAATCAACTGTATCATTTGAATACTAATATATTGTCTGACATTCTTAGTTAGAAGTTCTTTTTTTTTGTCTACAAGCAAAAATCGAAAGATAATCAAATTAGTCTTATCTTTATTTCTTGTATCAGACCACTCACAGTGAGTGTAAATTTTTTTTGTTTTATGCTTAATTTCCTATCGACTCTTTTATACGTCAGATGAATAACAAACAAGAAATTTCTCTTTTTTTTTTTGTACTATATAATTAACATTTACATGAAATGTACATTAATTTCTTTTTTTTCCTCTTTCAATTTTCCGTTGATTCACACTCTTCTGTGATTCTCTTGGTAAATTGATAGACGCATAAAGATAAAAGAATGATCATCATATAACAAAAAAGAAAAAAAAGAAGCGTTAACGACGAATAGAAATCATCATCTGTTGCCTACTACCATCATTAGTCATTTCCTTCGACCAAAGGCCAGAGGAAACAATACAAAACTTATTCGTTGTCATCACTCGATCTTTCTCTGTTCTGTCTCAACGTAGACCTAATCAAATATGCGAACATAGAGTTTTTTTTTTCTTTCTTCTCCTTTTTTTTATTTTCTCTTCTTCTTCTTCTTCTTCTTTTCTTTCTCGTCATATTACTCAGTTGAATGTGTGAGACGGGTCGAGACCGAGCGGGCACACACATATATGCATGTATGCATTAGTCGAAAGGAGAGTAAACAGGACAGGACAGGACAGACAGACTATCATCAATGAAATAATTGCAGTTGTCTTATTGGATAAAACAAGTAGAAAATTGAGTTTTCATTGGTCATCGATCTAATCTTTCATTTTAGTCTCTATCTATCGCTCACTTGAGAAGAAAAAGAAAGGGCAAAAAGAAAGAAAGAGAAGCAAAGGCTCGCGCCCATACACATGCACATTGCATTCATTCATTCATTTCTTCTCCTTCACTGACAAACACACACACAAACACACGTTCTCTTCCCGTTCTTCTCTGACAGTATACGTCATGAAGAATCGACGAGTAAAACTTCATAAAAGTAAAAAAAGAAAACTTTTATCTTCTATTTAATAGTATTATTCATTCCATCTGTTTTTCTATTGATTAGAATCTATAAAAAATGAAGAACATGTTTATATTGAATTAGATACAAAATGCAGGTATGTTCTACTATTCCTTTTATTGTACAAAAAAGACAATAGATTTTTTTTTCCTTTCTAGTTGTCCGCAAACATCTAGTAATGATCATGCATCTATTCAAGTATATTGTCTTTTCTTTCTATAGCTTTTTTTTTTTATTTAATTCATATTCTTTTGTAGTTTGCTCGTCGTTATCTTGAATGTCAAGGTTCAATGCCTATACGTATTCTTCGTTCATATATTGAACAAGTTTTACCCCATTCACCGATGACACAAGTAAAGAAACAAAAAGAAATAAAATTAAAAAAAAATAATAAATTCTCATTTCTAGGTATCAATTTATGATTTTAATGATAAACTATTGAATGATTCTGTTTGTCTAAAAGACCTTTCATTACCATCATCAACATTATATATACCTCTTCGTTTTACAATGGTAAATACAGTAACATCATTTGGTCATTGTTTATGTTCATCTCCGCCATCTCCGATAAAAACTTCTTCATCATTTTCTCCAACAATAATCCGACGTGAAACAATCAATCGAACATTATCAACATGTCCATTAGTTCCAACACCCCCACATTCACCATCTTCATCAACTTCTATATCGCCGATTTTATCGAAAAATCCATTACCTATTGTTAATCTTCTAACTCCACCATCGCCTTCACATTATTCATCATTTTTAATTGATAATATTGTTGAATCGAATTCTAATGATCAATCTATAATTGATAAAATAACATCCGAATTTGGTGAAATATGTCCAACATTACCACTAGTAAAACGAAAACGACAACGATTATTAAAAAAAATTATGCCTAAATCTTCTCCTTTATCATCGTCATCACCGTCAGATAGTCCTCTTGATCTCACTGTCAAAAAACGTCCAACTTCATTCGATTTGTTTACTATACAATCGAAATGGTTAAAAATGATCTAGGAAAATATAAAGAAAAGAAAAGAAGATTAGATTTCATTTGACAGTATGTGTGATATTTTTTGTGTTTCTTTTTTATATTATTATTGTCTGTAAAAAATACATAATACAAACAAACAACACTTCAAGTTCAATTGGCTTGCTTCATTCATTGAAGAGAAGATGTGTTAAAGAAAAATGAATGCATCAACATATTGAATTTTATATCCTGCGGAGATGGAATTATGTTTAGAAGACAATGAATTGTATTGTATTATGTATGAAAGGTGCTTGCAGACATCAATTGATTCTTTTGATGTTATTTTTTCTTTTTGAACAAGAATATGTGTCAGAAGGAGTGTTCGTATTAAATAGTAATGAGAAAAAGAGAAAATTATAATGGAATAGTTTCATATCAAATAATATCATTCCGTTCTTATAGAAATATTTCTGCGAAAGAGAGACGTGTAGCAATATAAAAATTTCTTATCAGATTTTTATTTTTCAAATAAACATTCTTGAATTTGTTCTTTTTTCTCAAGATTTATCGTTTTATTAATGAATTATCATAATTAGAATAGTTTTTCAATGATACTATCATATATGATTAAAATCTATGTTAAATATTCTATTAAATCTTTTGTTAACATTGTTGTATTTGAATACGTTATAGTGAAAGCAAACTTTTATTTTCTATAAGTCAACAAAAGAATCTTTTTGATCTTTTCCGATTGTCGATAGTAACTATTTGACACACTGTTCAATGAATATATCACTGCTAATCAATTCTGAGCATATGTGTTTTTTTAGAAAAACTTGAATAATGTTATGTTTAGCATAAATATGTGAACATATATCTTATCAATAAAACACTTGAGTTTTTTTTATGATTCAATATCAATCACGAAAGAAATATATTTAAAATAAAGATAAATCTATTACGAAAAGTTCTTCTACAAAAAAAAACAACAAGGAAAATCCCATTCAAAGACAAGTAAGTATACAATATGTAAATTAATAAGTAAATGTAGATATAGATATATATGCATGCAAAACAATCAAATCAAACTTTAAATGAATAAACAGTACAAAATAAAATAAGTAATCATAGACTTTTTAAGAATAATAATCATATTCACGATGAATTGGTGATATTGATGGTGATGTTGTTAATTTGCGTTTTTTTGATATGTGATCAGGTGTTGATGGAAATAAATCGTCAGTTGTTTGCGTAGAAATGGATGTGTTCTCAGGAAATAGACGAAGTAATAATTGATTATGATATAATTGTTGATTTTTTACCAAAAGATCAAGTTTTTCTTGTGTTATATCAAATAATTGACGTTTTGTACGTTCTAAATCCATTTTTAAACCACATATTTCCAATTCTTTTGCTTGTTTATATTCATGATATTGTTCTTCAAGATTTTCATATTGATTATTAGAATAACTACAATCAATTTCACCTTCTTCTTCGTCATTACCATTACATTGTGGATTAATAAATGTCTAATTAATATTTAAAAAATAAATATGAAAAATATTCAAAAAAAAATCTTTTTTACAATTTCCGATGAATTTCGTTCAAGTTTTCTAACACATGAAAGTCTTATTGGTTCTATTGGTGATGTTCGAATAATTCGATCAGGTTGTTCATAATTATTTAAATTTCGATGTTTATAATTTGTATGAAGTCGTTGCCGATGATTATTAGAACGTATATGATGATTATCTGAATTATCTTGTTGTTCAGATGGTGAAAATTTAGTTACTGATACTTCTTTATCACGAATATAATGTGGTCGAGCAAGTAAAACACGATCAACATCATCATAATCCTTCAAAAAATAAATTTCAATTTTTCGAATCAAATATAAAACAATAAAATTTTACCTCAAAATCAATATAACCATTTTCAATATCAACTTTTTTAATATTACCATATTTTTGAAAATAATTTTTTAAAAGATTTTTATCATATTTATATAAATCTTGTGAAATTAATCGATTAGTAACAATCAATCGTTCAGGTATTGATGATGTTGAACGTGGTAATGCTCGTTTAACAAATATTTCTTCACCATTTATAAAATGTGGTCGATTAGACATAAATTG